GAAAAAGCCTCCGGTCAGGCTGAACGGGATTCAAGATAATTCAGAAGTGGAGGCGGAGCTACAACACCAGCTATACACGCCATCCTACCAGCCACAACCGAAAAGGACCTCCGCGAACGGTCTCGAGAACACCAGAAACCCCAACAACCCTCCGCCCCAACGTCTGATCAGGCTAACGAAGCACGAACCAGAGTTCCAGAGAGAGTATCCCAGGCAGTTGCAAGGCAACGCCAGGAATTGTTACAGCGTACCAGCCGAAAGGGAAAATGGAACAATGGCAGCTAACGAACAAACGTTTTATGGTCAACAACAATATCCAGGATACACCTCGACGCCTATGATTCCTTATAACGAGACCAACCCAACCACGTCACGTGGCAACGTGTTGCCTTTCAGGTACGACGGGAATAATCATTCCCAACACTATCAACAGATGCAACAGTATTATCAGAACATGAGAAATCTCACTAGGAACAACGGCCAGGGGGACGTGTCCGGATCGACACAGAAGACCGCAGTCCCGAGCAACCCCGGTTTCGATCGTGCAGGCGGCGATGCCAGCGGATACGCGGACGGCCAGACGGCGGAATGTAAAATGCCACTTTACCGGATGCATTACAGCCAACCTGATCTCCACGAGGCCAGAACCATCGGTGGTGTGAGGTACCTGGCCAGGAAACAGGACTGCATGCCAAACACGCAACTCGTGTCCCCGGAAACACTGATCGCCAGCAAACACCTGCAACCCCCAGTGATCTACTGACGAGACATTTCGATTGTTTACACCTTTTTATAACCCCTTTTTTTTTTTAACCCCATTTGTTAGCACGATTTTGTTTTCGAAGTGTGTTTTATAGAGTCGTCTTTTACATTGTCTTTTCTGTGTGTAGATGATTTTTGAACTGTGATGTATATTTTTGCTAAGGAACCGCACACACGCTTTTTAACATGTGTGTCAACGAGCGGTATTTGTAATTTCGAGGTTTTGTCACTCGTTTTGTGTAATAAAGTGCTGTGGAATTCTGTTGATGTGTTTCTTGTTTGGTAGCATCGATCAGCGAAGATTCCCAGGAAGATTATGCTATTCACGGTAGCCAGTTGTTTGCCTTTCAACGTCAAGTACATCCTCATTGCTGGAATTGCTGCTTTTTCTCTGTTTTTTTTTTTATTCACCCCGTTGTCCTCTTTGCACAGCGTTTCGCCCTCATCAGCAAATTGCCGTCTGTCAATGGAATACCATCCACTGACGAAGTGGTCCGTCCCTTCCCTTGGTTTATTCTTCAGAAATTTCTGTTTGCATAACATGAATAATATTATACAATTCCGTCGTAATACGACCCTTTGATAAATCGAAACACCAAGTACGTGAACGCTCTTCGTTATTCTTTTTCTATCGAACCAAAACTCACGCTAACTTCCGATCGTTGGTTTCTCCGAATAACGTTTTAACGAATCCACTGCAAAATTCTCTGTAAATGTTTACTCGATGTACGAGTAAACATGAATTGCAAAAAGTACCGTAACTACATGGACGAACTAATGACGATCATCGATGAGATCGAGTGTCTGTGAGTAGTTTTTCGAAAAGCAGGCCGTGTTATTCTGTCCGTGATCTTTGAATAGGGTTATTCTAGTGTAGCTGCCCGTTTTTCAACGTTATCTTCGAGAGTTTATTTAACAAAAAGTATAAATTTATATTGAACGATATTTTGCATGCATTTATTAATTGGAATTTCAATAAACCGCGTTACAGACATATCTGTAGAATCAGAAGCTATGAACTAATGCGACCATAAAATCAATTTTTTTACTCTCTACACTAGAGTACTAAACAGCTAAAAATGAATGAATTTTTTGGAATTTACTGTAAAGAAGGTATTAAACCAATCTCCTTGAAACTTTGAGAATATTTTATTGTACAATCAAATTGAATACAAACTTTTTATTCAGTTTAATTGTACAATAAAGTATTCTCAAACTTTCAAAGAGATTGGTTTACTAATTTCTTCACAAGAAATTCCTTAAAAAATTCATTCATTTTTAGCCCGTTTACACCAGGCTTCCCTCCTTAAAGCCTCTGAAAACACGCGGGCTCGTTTCACAGAAAACCGGAACCGGAAATATGCAACGTTAGGTGCCCACCGCTTGGATGTCCACGTGGACCGTGTCCAGGGATGTGCTGCTCCGGGGGTTACTGCGACTCTTGTTGTATATCGAAGATGCCCTGTTGTCCACCACCCCCGTCTCGTCCACGATGTCGCGCACCCCCTTTGTGCTGGCTTAAAGCTTACGCCAAGTCGGTTGGCTATCCCCCAGAATCCTGTCTGTCCCCACAAAACGCGTGCAACCGCCAGAAATCCGGATGCTTGCCTCCACAGAATTGCTGCCCCCCGAAATTTTGCACCACCGTTCCCATTTGTAAATCACCCTGTTGCCCAGACACTACGTATCAGTGCTGTTACTGAACGATCTCCTCGAATATTTCAGTTATGTTTCTCGTGAACGATATACAAATGATTGTATCGACGAAATATATACACGTATGTAATTTTGCTTGGATAAGAAATCGAAAAAACAGTGACAGTGTACAGAATCTCTTGAATAGAGTACAGTGAATCCTCGATGAGTGCTCAAAGGCTCCCAAGCATCGACACGAAGAAGTCCTAAAGTGTAAAGTTGACTTTTTAATGAGGTTTAGTACAGTGGTAGTGCCTGGAATTCCGAAGCCAATGATATTTTGTTCACCCGTATGTGACCATTAGTTTATGAAATATTTAATATTTAGTGCAGAGGCGCCTTCGAACACTCATCGAGGATTCACTGGCGTTTAAATCGTGGACGCTTGTCACAGCAGTGTCTCGTTCGTAAATCAGTAGTCAGCGATTAAGTAAGGCGCGTCGTCGTTCCATAAGTTCGGAAACTGTTGTTTTGGGAGGGGAGGGGGCCACCTGAACTTCGACTAATTTCGAATTAACCTCTCAAAGAGCTGCTCGACGTACCGACGGTATGATCTATATCAACCACGGTATTACATTATAACGAGCATCAAGTGGGTAGCGTGATTCCAGGCGTGCATTCCGAAACTTTCGAATTCAATCGAATCTTAATCATTTTCTTTCCCCGAACTTTTTTGCACGAAACTGCTCGGATGAAGAAACGATTATTCGATTATTCCGACATTCTTTGAAGCACCAAATAAATGAAGATCGACGTGGCTAATTAATGGTAACCACGTTATCGTGTTTCTTACAATTCTAAATGTCGATTCGAAGAATAGAATTAAGATTAATGTTAATCTTTACCGTCGAAATAGAATATTTTGAAACATTGCAACAATCGAGATGAACTGGCAGGACCAAGATCGAATAAGACATCACACCAAACCATTCGATGCATCAGGAATTATACAGCGTTTGACATTAGACCTGCAAAAGGGAAGACACGAAACAGAAGGGGTTAGTTCGAAATATTTCCTACTACTAATTCTGTTATATTCGCGAAGAAACAAAATTAAATGGATGTTTAACATTCGAAACAGAGCACTCCTCCGTCCGAGTTCATGAGACAAATGTTAATGACGACGGAAGAGAGGACGGAATTCATCTTGAAATCAAAGTACAAGCATGATTTATCACTCTATTCGAAATGTCTCGATCGCAGCTTCGACGTCACTCCCAGCATCGTCGTTTTTCAAAAATTCAAATCCGGGGAAGTGTTCAACGTGATAATGACAGTTCGTAACGTGTCGCAGGTAATCGTAAGAAATGTAGAAAAAAAAATTAAACGTAATGATCGTATTTAAATAAAATAAAATTATAGGTTTCACGATATTTGAAGACGTCCTGCAACCTCAATCCCTTCTTCTCCATTGAAAATCGTGGATTGTTCTCGACGATGATCGCGCCAGGTCTCGCGAATTCTTATAACGTTAAATTTTCCCCCGAGAAGGAGAGAGATTACCTGTATCGATTGACGTTCCTAACGAATACCGGCGAAATCGTCGTTCCAATCATAGGTAAATCGAATATTTTGTTACTAATCCGTGGAAGATTTAACAATACGATCGTTCCGATTCAGCGATCGGACCCAGAGGAATTTTGGACTTTCCCGATCAGATCGAATTACCATCGACAGCAGTGAAGATTTCCTCTACGAAGACAATATTTGTACGCAACGTGGGAACCGCGCCTGCGGTCTTTAATCTTTACAGCGACAAGTAATCAAAAATCGATTCGTTCGATTGCGGGTAAATATTTACAATAAGAGAGCCACCTCCGATTTCGATGATTTTTAAAATGATCGATGACCTTGACCTTGACATATATTTTCAAGGTCACTCCTGAGCTATCTTCAAATAATTTCAGTTATCAAATGTTGTTTATTGAATAGTATATTAAGAAAACAATCATACCTATTACCTGAACTGCTCCAACGAACTCTCGATGACTTACTTTCTTGAATTATTTTTAACCAACTCTGAAGCATTATACTTATCTTTGATAATAACTCTTCCAAAACAATAGACGAGTTTCTACTTGAAGTGGTGTACGACCCTAAATTAAAACCTTCACAACACAACTCAAGGTAAGACCTTGAAACATATTGAAAAATCTACGAAATCGGAAATGGCTCCTTTATTGTAAATATTTACCCGATTGCGTTCCGTTCGTTAATTCGACGTTAATATTCAGTCCTTGTTTCTGGATCGAGCCATCGAAGGGCAGAATAGAGGAAGAAGAAACCCTACAATTCACCGTCCACTTCCTATCCAAGAAAGCCGGCGATTTCGAAGGAAAACTTTTCCTCGAATACGAAACAGGTCTCGAAAAATGTCGTGTACTAATAACATCTTCATTACAGCAATTTCGGCGCACCGACATAGCAGAGTATAAAGGGAAAACTTGATAACTATATAACACTTGTCAGGTGGGAAACTTGAAATAGTTCTCCGTGGTTCCGCCCAGAATTGTCTTATTCGCCTCGGAAGAGGTTGCGTCAGGATGGAGGAGACATATTTAGGGTTGTCCAGGAGTAAGACACTGACGATTCATAACGGAAGCGATTACATTGTCACGTACAAGTGGATGCTTCTCAAGGACATCGATGCTGACGAGCAACGGAAGGAAGAGTAAGCCAGAAAACACAGCTCAAGAATTCGTTCTGCAGTGTCTGCATGGAAAATAATATATATCCTGATTACAGATACAGAAACTTGTTTCATTTGGTGTACAAAACGGAGCTGATTCGTTGCACCGATCTTGTTCATTACAACGTGTGCCTGCCCGACATTCATCAGCTGGTCTATCAACGGATCTACGCGGACGAGATCGAGTCACTGAAGAAGGAAACGTTCCAATATTCTCACATATCCTTCAAGCTCACGCCAGAGGTATTCTTCAACGCTCAGAAGAAGTGTGGTCGAGTCGTCGATTTTAATCGAACGTTTCTTGATGAATTTACAGCAGAAATGAGCAGACACGTATCCGAGCGTTTGCTCGAATATGCATTATGTATAAAGATATTTAATGTTAAAATTTGGTCAAATTGAAGGTTCGCGATAAGTATGAAGAAGAAAGAATTGTGTTAGGCTAGAAATCGACAGTTCGTGAGTTCGAACCTCAGTCAGCACGTTTCGTTTTCCCATGTTTTTAAACTTATAAATTTATGAATGTATTATTTCAACAGACAATGAATAATTGTTAGAAAAAAGGTTGACACACTAATGAATTAGATATTATTTTAACAATTGTTTGTAATTTCAATGATTATGTTTGAAAACAAAAAATAATCTATTATGACATTTGACGAAACTTTAACATTAAATATCTTTGTAAATAATGCATATTCGAGCAAAAGCTCGGATACGTGTCTGCTCATTTTCCGTTTAGATTCATCAGAAAATGTTTGAAATAGGCGACCCGACAACTGTGGCTTCTGATTGTCAGCGAAACGATTCAATTGAGAAAATATATACGATAAAATCTTGTCAGGAGGGCGAGATTTGGCCGCAATCATCGACAAGCGTCACGATCTTCTACTATGCATTGGAAGTCGGTGAACTAAATAGTACCGCCTACTTAGAAGTAACTGGACGGGAAAATCGAATACCGCTGAAGTACGAAAACAATACTTTCTCACGGCTAATAACTGACAGCTAATCCGTTAATTTCTGGTAGTCTGTGTGGAACAGGTAAAGGACCATACTTCCGTTTCAACGTCCACACGATCGACATGCGCAACGTTTACTTGTGTTCCGTGGAAAACTTCGAGGTATCCTTAGCTCCCTAAGAGAGTTCTTAACAATATTCTAGAAGTTGTAATAGATTGAAATTATAAAAATAAAAAAATTGTGTATACTAAAACGATTAAAATTATAAAAACGACAGATAGTAGTCGCTAACAAAGGCCACATTCCTGGCACGCTGATCTACAAGCCGAAACCAACCGATTTCGGCGGTTCGATCGAAATCACACCGTCCACTCTATCCTTGGGTCCAGACGAGCACACAGCTATCATCCTGAGATTCACCTCGAATCGTAAGGGTGATTTCGTCGAAAGGTTGGATTTCATTGTTAAAGAGAGCCTCGAGGTGCACAGCTTGCATATCAAGTAAGTCTGGAAGACTGTAAACAGACTGGATGGAAAGTAGAACAATGGTTCGTTGCACTTTTCCAGGGGTTCCATCGTGTTCCCGAAGTTGTACTTCGACAAGGAAAGTCTTGAGTTTTGTAACACCCCTTTAGGTATGCTTCATTTCGTGTAATAATACACAGAGGGTCCCAGCCAACACAAGCACCTTTAGTATATCACTTGCGTTTGATTTGCAAAAATTTTATTTTAATAAATGCTCAAACTGATGTCCATCAACTTCGATACATTTTTCAAGTAATCTCTCTATCGCAGTTATATTATTTAAACCTAGTATTAAACCTTTCTGGATTTTTCATACTCAAGGTCACATGAAGGTCACATCATTATAGGTCATTGGATTGGTCTTGATCTCAACTATTGTCGCTGATAAAATATGTAATCCCGTTAAAAAAAAATCGATGACCTTGAAATTTCGAAAAATCTTTGCTTATCACAATATTTGCTCCTTCTAACCATATAATACTTTCCCTCCACATTTTTTGTGTCTTCAAAAAGGAAGTGAGATATTTAAGATGCTGACGTTAAATGGGTCACCTATGTAACCTTGCGTAAAGAAAAAATATTGATTCGTTGAATTCAAGGTTTCAGCAGAAAACACGAGGTTTCTCTTAACAATCTGTCGCCAGTTCCCGTGTCATTTAGCGCGACTATAGCCAACGACGGGCATCAAACGTGTCTGACACAAGAAGAGTTCGCGAAAGCACTAACAAAGCCCAGTTTCCCTTCGGATCCTCGAGAATTCATTGTCACCCCTCAGTCGGGGGTGGTTCCCGCCGGTAGCTCCCTCAAACTGAAAGTGAACTGTCGTTCCTTCTAAAAATCCTAACCATTTGCACGATCTTGATAACGATTTTTGACATCGATCAACGCGATCCACAGGTCGTTTACACCGCAAACATCGTCCGCGAAGGTCACACGAAGATGGAAATCGATTTGTGGGACTCGGATTCGGATGCGCTGGCGTTGCCGATCACGTTTAGTGGCGCTGTGACTTCTCTGACGATCGTTCCGAAGGAGATCACCAATCGATTTTGCTTTCTGAATCAGCCGACCACGGAAACGTTCAACATAGTGAACGCGTCAGACCTGGACGGATATTTCTACTTGCTGCCTCAGCGAGTAATCGCCAGTATAGTGCTTGCCTGAGATATAGTGAATTGATTCGAAATAATTTTACTTTTCTATGAGTAGGTTTCGGACGATCCTCCAGTGATATATTCTCTGTCAACGAACCAGGGCATCGTCAAAGCTCATCAGACAAAAACCGTCAGCGTGACGGTGATCGCGAGGATCCTGGGACAGCAAACAGTGACTATTAAGTAAACGATTACACGAAAATTTACAGTATTTCACTCGACGGAATTACAGGTGTTGCACTCCAATTCACCTATTTGCAAATCAAATTTATCTTTTTGCAGACGAAATTCACTAAAAATAAATCACCTACTCCAATCATTGCAAAGACAATTAGATTATTGATTGCTGGGGCGCATAATTTTGATAAGTTACTTTTTATTTCGGAAATTGCAAAAGGTCGAATTCTTAAAAGGATGAACTTCATTTGCAAAGGGTTAAATGTAGTTTGCAAACGGGTAGATTTGATTTGCAAAAAGTTGAATTTGGAATAGAAAAACAGAATGTATGGTTCATCGCCCTCAGTATGTTAACAATGGGAGAGAATTCTACGAACGTGGCTTGCACGATCAACTACGTGGGCCAAGGACCCCTCGTCTCTACAGAACCGACAGCTTTGAATTTGGGCGAAGTTCCAGTTCTTCAAGATAAAACGACGAACTTCTTGGTTATCAACGATTCACCGATACCGGCTCAGTTCTCAGTATCCACGGTACAATCTTCTCGTATCGATTTTTTTGAATATTATAAAACTGATCGATTTCTAGCTACATTAGACTCGAGTTCTGGATGAGTTAATCAAGATGTAATTTTAATCGTGTTTCAAGCACAAGAAAGATTTACTGTGGACTGTAAATCCGCATAGTGGCTGCCTCGAGCCAAACGAATCGATCAAGATCGACGTGACGCTGCGTCTCCATGACGTCGGTAAATTCTTCGACAGAATCGTGCTGGTCTTTGTAAACAGCCAAATGGTCAGCGTCGAACTGAGAGCGATCGGAATCGGTTGCAGTGTCGTTTTTGAGCCGGAAATATTTCCCGTCTTCGATTGGGGCTTTCTGCTCAGGTTTAAATTGACCGCGACTTTTTATTCTCGATGATAGTCGATCGAAAATAACCCGTTTTCTTTTCATTTTCCTCTATAGTCACCAAACAATTCATCGAACCATAACGCTGACAAATTACAGTAGTAACGCGTATCAGATTATCTGGTCGAATAAGCCAGAGATACAATTCAATCGAGGTCAACTGATAGGACCCGAAACGTGAGTAACAAATTCTGTATATATATTTTTCTTTATCCACGTGTTTCACAATATTTGTTTTAACGTAGCTCGAAGTTTCAAGTGAAACCTTCTGTACTCGAAATTCCATCTGAAGGAAAAACGGTTGTGCAATGCGAATTATTTTGGAAAGAGTAAGTAATATATTGATCGTTAATAACAATTGAATATTAACGAACAAAAAACATGACAATGTTTTCTGTGAACAGGAACGAGTGTTTAATGGAGAACTGGTACGTGTTCGGTAAACCTTCGACGAGCTCGAAACGCGAACTGATCGGTACGTCGCTTTTCAAGTGCACCCTAACGGAGCCTCAAATATTCTTCGACAAAAAGGAACTACTGTTTCGCGTCGACATCTCGACAGACGATAACAAATTCCATCAGACAGGTTCGATTCCTCCTGACATTGTTAATCCGTCGTGAAATATTTTCTGTCTTACAATCTGGCTCGTGTACGTTAACGATGTTTGCGCAGAAGAATTGCTGGTAACGAATCGCTCGAAGTTGGACGTGCACGCGAGACTCTCGATCAAACCGCCGTTTCACATACTGAACGACGAAAAGGTGTACGTACAGAGCATGAGAACCGTTTTGATCGACGGCGATGCCACCAAGATCCATCTGTTCTTTTCGTTCGACAGCAACAACCTCTATTCGCGAAATTACACAGAGGCGCTTCGATTCGAATACGACGAGCATCCTAATCAGGTAAATCTCTTTGATTCGAACCCAGGATGTCGCAAAGACAAGACACCATGGGAGACGTGTTCCATCTGATTGAATAATCGAGAATAATCTAACGTACAGGGCCTTATTAAAATTAGTCAGCTATCTTGACAGTAATTAGGTATTATTTTGATTATCAGAACGTCTCTTAACACATTTTATGCAGACTACCTTGCACGTTTCACCTGACGTGGCGAGGGTCATTTTTGGAGACTTGGCTACGTCAGCAAGGGATTTCAAGAAGTCGTTCTAATTATTCACTCACTGTGAACTTTTATTTAATCTTTTCTTTTTACTATAGTATATACGTGTTTCGCAGATTATCAACAATGTACGAAAAGCGGACTAATACGTGTCCTACATACAATGTGTTAAGAATTAAAAACTAATCGAAATCATGGCTCCAGTTGACACGATCTCCGTTATGTTTTTTTTTTTTTACCATCGACAACGGGTTTTACCAGGCAGCGTTTTGCACAAATTAAACCGATTTATTCAGGACAAAATCGCGTGCAAGGGATTCGTTAACTTTCCCAATCTGGTTTTGGAGCCGGCGAATTTCACTGTTAATTGCCAACTTGGCTCGAGTGCCGAGAAAATATTGACGTTGACCAATGATGGCCCCGTATCGGTCGTGTACAAATTCCTGTGGATGGAGGACTCCATCGATGTGGAACGCGACACGCATACCTATCACGTAAGTGCCGAAATGTACAGAACCGATAAGTTTAATCGGTCGTTCGTAACGGTAAAAATAATTTCCACGATATACATATATTAAATAAAAGCGTACGAGACATTCTGAATTACGAAATACTGTTTTACCATATAAACCGTCGGAAAATCTGAGTGAAATATCGTAGGAATGCACGATGCGCACACAAGAAGCAACGAAATTATTAACTCCAGACGCCCCTGTGTCAGCTGTAACAAATGAAGATACTTCCATAAGCGACAGGCAAAATGGAGGCGGAGACGGGATGATTCGATCGATACCACCGCCAACAAATTGTAACACCTTTCTTGCTCTTGATTATTAACGAAACGGAAAACAGTAATTACGAGAAATTTACATTTTTGTACATGCATGCAGCACCTGTTTCAGAGACGCACGCGCAGAAACTGGATAATACGGACGATAATAATACGGATGAGAACAATTGCACAGTGTCCGATAACGAATTAAGGGAATTCTTACTGCCTATGGTTGGGAAATACTTTAAACAAGACGTGGGTCTTACTGCTTTCGAACTATTGACGGACGAACCTCCGAAAACACATTTTATAAACACCGTTAGTAATGTTTCTAATGATTTACCTGATTATTCGAATGTTTAATAAAGGTATTTCAAGTTCAAAAAGGAATTTTAAATTGTTCACCAAGGTACTAGAAATCATTCCGCGCGAAGGAATCGTACCGCCGTATACAGTGCAACACGTCCACGTGGGATTCCACGGTTTTAAACGATTTCAAATGAAAGCTACGGCGATCTGTCAAATTTCACAGGGTCCCACCGAACAAGTGCAGATATTCGCTCGATCGGACGAAATTCAATTCTTGATAAACACTGAAAAAATCGATTTTGGCGAACAGGTTAATGCATTACATTCTCCGTTCACTATTTCGACGAAACCATGTTTAATCATTTGCTTATTTCAGTAATTTAATTTACTTATTATTATATATAGTGTTCATTTACTGGTGCATCCACCCTATAAAAGAACTAGGAATCGTGATTATTATTCTCTTTAATCGTAGGTATTTTTGGAATCCAATCACAAGATGCTGATATTAAAGAACAACAGCAGAACAGCGTTCGACTATAAAATAACCGGCTTGGATTCCGCCTATGACAAAAGGATCGATAGATTCAATATAAATCCGCTCATAGTCGAGCCGCACGTGGGATCCGTAGAACCTCATTCGTTCGTAGAATTTCATTTGGAGCATCGTACCACGATTCTAGGTCCAATCGATCATCGGTTTCAGTTGGAGGTGTTCACCACGATAGTCCTAGATTGCTCCGAATTTATATTCAAGCACCGGTATCCAAAACTTTATTCAACAATCGCACGTGGTACAATGTGTCCTCATTGATATTCCAGATCGGTCATTTAATGCCCCTAACGATAACTGTGAACGCGTTCGGATCATTTCCGCAAGTGTTCCCGTGTATTCCACAGAGAAATCTCCACGAGGAGCGTACGATCGAAGTGGAATACATTGCGATACAATCGTTGAACGACGAATATCTTATAAACGTAAGAAAGTCTCGATAAGTGCACGCACGGTTTTTTTACAACATTTTATCGTCGATCGACAGAAGCTGAACGTGACAACGAACGATTGGCCGGAATGTAATCTCGTCGAGGAGCAAAGCAATTTGCCCGAGGATCTTGTCGAAATTTTGATCGGTAAGGAAAGAATAAAAATAAATCGTGAACAAATTGTCTTCGATGAATTTTATACCGCTCTTAATGCTTTGTTCTATTCGAGGCGAGGAATGGAGCGTCGTTTCGTACGAGGAAATATTCCCTCGCGTCGTGGACATAGAAATGGCGGTGGAGAGACATTTGGCAAGGGAACTCGTCGACGGGAATTCATACATCTTAATACAGTACGCCGCCAGGCGCAAGAACGAGCCGATTCCTCATCTCTTTTCGTCCGTGTACGTTATCGGTACGTTTTCCCTTCCCATAAATTAATCGATCACTCGAGAAACCGTTTGTCTTGCGAGCGAATACGTTTCTGCGCAGACATGCATCACGTGATCGTCGAACAAGTCACAGAATATTCGACCAGAATTATCAATTACGGCCCGTGGAACGTGAACATGCGAATGCAAAAATCTCAGGAAAATAATCATATCGAGAAAACAGACATCGTGGTACAATTAAAGAAACAACCGAACTTGATGGTCGGCGACTCCGCCATCCTTCGAGTAACTTGGCATCCCACCAGAGAGAAGTACGGAGAAAGATGTACGCGTGTGATACACACAGTTTATATCGAGGTGAGCGAATGATAAATTCGTTTGGTGAGGTAGAGAAGTACGAGCTAATTTTAACTTCGTTCGATAATAATCCTGTTCGCCAATTAATATTTAGGTGATCAGAGGGTGCACCATTCCGATAACCATCAAAGGAACGGTAACGTATCCTTATGTAACGGTGAACACAAAATTTCTAGACTTCCAAAAAGTCCTCGTGGGCGAATGCTTAGTCATGTGTGTCCAGATAACAAACGAGTAATTATTTTGATTTTTCCCTCGGGATTAATCAGGACTAGTTAATTGCAAATGGAAAACGAAATTATCCTGCGTACGCAAGGGAAAACAGGAGAAGAGTCCGTTTTACGTGGAATACGAGTCGAATCAGTGCGCACCCGGACAAACGAAAATACTTCGTGTATGCTTCAAGCCCTGGAAAACGGTAATCATATTTTTGGTCGAAAACTTCTTTTTATCGATATAGATTCAACATTTTCAGCAAGCGTTTAAAAGAAAATGTAATTAATTTCAGTGTTACTCGGAGATGAAGTTAAACATTCTCGTGAAGAACAGCTTCGAGGCTCAAACTGTTACCTTAACCGGTCGTGGTGTCGAGAAAACTCTGAATATAATAGATCCGGTTATTCGATTTTTACCAGTGGTCCCTTATACGTACATTCAGGAGGTTCTGTTCACCATCGAGAATCCTTGCGATTATCCGGTTGAATTTTTCTGGCATCATTTGGACGAGTAAGTCGACGAATACATGAAAACTTGTAATCTAAATTAATGATCCATTTCACCGAAACCCTATTCAACTTCGGTACCTACTCTATGAGTCGGCCTTTACGAGACAGTTCACGCGTACATTCCGAATAAAACGACGGTTTTCAAGCTCTTTCCAGGTGGAGGATCAAGTCATAAAGGCGTTATTGGATTATTACCGAGTCGAGGAAATACTCTTGCCCCCTAGAATGCCTGGCGAATCGTTGCCCGCGAATTTAATAAAGTTTTACTACGATCTGGTCGATGGTATGTCCCGTGTTCGATCGATCGAGCGATTCGAGGAGGCGGAACATTTGGAGAACGTGGATGAACACGGCAACAAGACGAGTAAGCCTTGATACTAATTCATTCATGGGCGTACTCCTTTCGATAAATAGATCCGTTAAATAATTCGGCATTCACTGGGTAAGGCAAGAAACTTCGAAGAAATATTAGATACACTCTCGTGATTTAAGGTTACGCGGAAAGTCTGCACGACACTTCAAACTTCCGGGATAAAATGGGAGATCCCGTGAGAGAACTTTTCGAGAGTATCGAGCGGAAATCCAACCCGTTGAACGATCTTCCGGACCCGGCGAAGTCGACGAAGAAAGTCTGCATTATTTTCCACGGAGCTCCTTTCACCAGTACACCCTCACAATACTACATATAGATCCTTAGCGTTCCAAATAGATAATGATACGCCCTGCAAAAAAAAAAGACGTAACATCCGGAATGAACTTAACTCCAGTTGTTCGATCCTAAAATGATCCTACATGAATAAGAGGTATCAAGAGTGTTTCTTAATGCAAAATAAAATCTGCTACTTAGATTACCAAGAGACAGCTTGCAGAAGCGCGAGAATGTTACAAGTTCCTGTACTCTCCATCGACAAGGCGATCACAGAGGCCATAGCTCTGGGTAGAAACGACTATTCGATTGCACTGCGAGAAATCATCGATGAAGCGTATCAAAGATACACAGAAGCTTACGAGACATACAAGTACACAACCTACAGCTTCAACCGAAATTTTTGCAAATATTTTAATCCTATTCTTACTGGTTCGTTAAACGTGTTCGGTCCATTAGGGAACGTTTAGACGTCCAATCAGCTCGCCAAACCAACGAGACCGATTCCAATACGACCAGAAGTGAACCAAAAGAAAAACGAAATCGCCGCGCCAAGATGAAATCTCCCGTCAGCGAGAAATCGGTTTCTCGAAAAGGAAAATCGAAAAAAGCCGCTGAAACTGAAGTATCGAACGCACAGGAAAAAGTAATCCTTCTGCGACTTCCCGAGGAGCCGGATCCTTTGATGGAATTCAATAAAGTTCCTACAGCAGAGAGACTAGAAACGTTGGATCCTTTGAGTCGATACGAGTACAAGATCCAGGCTATTCTGCAATTAGAAAGAATACTAGGACTTAACACGACTGCGAACAAATCCCCGCGGGATAAAACCAACGCGAAGACAGTCGAAAAAAGTGCCAGAAAAAAGGTGCACGATACGTTCCCTGGAATCAGCCTTGACATGCTCGTCGAAGCTCTCGCGAAACGGTATGTCATAATAGTTCCCTAAATGCTTTGTATAATATTTCTATATTCTATTATTAATATAGAAATATAATATTTCAATTCCTACATTAAAAATTCTCTAAATACTTCATACAAAACCACGTTGATTCTCGTTAAATGAATTCCGGTTCAGGCTATCCGAGGAGGACTTTAAACGCGGATTCGTCCTGGAATCGTTAGAGAACAACTTCTTGCGCAACAGCCCCGTCGAAACTCTGCTGATTCTGTTGAGGATTGTTGGTCACGTAGAGTACTTCCTGTTCGTCACGTTCCTCAACACGATGGCCAATTACAATCGTAAAGTCGACGAGCTACGCCAGGAGTACGGTAAGATACGACTGAAAATCGGAATGAATCTTGAATATGAAATCGGAACGTTCTGTGTCGCGTCGATAATACCACGGGAGCGAGATTACATGGGAATTAAAAGGGATCGAAACAGAGCACACTGTGGACCATATTCACCGAATAAGAGAGATATCTCATCTTTCACGAGCAGAGAGGACGATCGGTCTCAGCAAACGGATCCAGGACATCGACGAGATGTCGTTGTCCGAGTACGATCTGCTCGACGACGATGATAAGAAGATGTATCTGAAAGCAATTCTGCCAGCTAAAAGGGAGAAGGCATCGCTTAGACGAGCTCGATTTGCCGAACGGATGATGGAGCGCGGAAAGAAAAAGGTCGGGACCCGAGGAGTTCTGCTACTGACACCAATTTTAAATTTACTTTGATCGTGCTCGGAAAGATTCTCGAGGGCACGCCGAAAGAGAACCCTAGACAGACAAGAGAAACAATGAAAAATTGTTCCAGGAATATCCTAGAAAATTTCATTATTAAAGATAAACCACATATCTTTATTTGACGTTTAATTATTGTCTTCATTATTTATAAATCTGACTAATAACGATAATTATAATAACGACTAAGACAGAGTAAAGTCAGACAGTATTAATCGGTTACAGGAGTTTAAACAACCGTGAAACGATTCGACATTAATTTCTGTTTCTTTTTCTTTTTTGTTGGGTGTGACTGTTTTACAGGAGGTCCGTGGCCATGTTTCGAGATCAAAGACACCCAAGGGAAAAGGAAAAGAAAAGTCGACGAAGCGCAAGCAGACAGGCAATAAAAGGTCCGCGAGCTCGAAGCCGGCCTCCAGCAAACGAGAGACAACCAGCGGAAGAACGAAGAGCAAGGACAGCTCGAGACGCGGTAAGATCCGCTTGAGAGACAGTCTGGAGGATGAAATTGAGGAAGTAAGAACGGCAAGGGAAATGTCCCGAGCCAATTTGAGCGGGACAAGAGTGAAACTACGAGCCGTGATATTTGCAGATTCAATTAAATTACAGTGAATTAGAGAGCAACGCTCGAGTATATTGCGAATTAAAATTATAATTAATTTCGGATAATTAACGCTCCTTTAGACAATTGTAGAGCAACATCGCAAGAGTCAGAAAGAACTAAATGTTACAGGAAAGGAGACAATTTCAAACGAGATCAGGGAAGTTATGGTTGCCATGGATCAATATTATTCGAATCTGTCTGCGATGGAGGGAATAATTCGGAATTGGGATCCTGTAAAAAAGATTGTCGTGAGCTTTCATCGCGTCTCATTTTTTTGTTTAAATGATAAATGTACTCCGAACGTTAGTTGTATTATTTTACTTTTAGGAACCGTCTGTTACAGTAAAAACCAAAGCACCGAGAAGCGCCAAATCCAAAGATACAGGACGAGACGCAGTCAGCAATGTAATACCACTTGACGTGTATAAAAATTGTTTACTTCGCAGTAGTGAAAGAGTTAACACAGTTTGTTAACTTGAATTCTAGATACAGACGGACGTGAACAAATTTCAATTGTGGTACGTGAAAGCCAGCGATCCCTGGCAAAACTGTATATACGATATGGTTGTCGCACAAATGGGCGAGAACGTTTTAGCAAAACATGCACTTCGTAAGTGACAAACTGCACTTAGTTTTGTTAGGTTCCTGAAATATATTTCCGATGATAAATATCGTTGGCATCATCTGCAGAAGCCGAGCGAACGCCTAAACCTAACCTCACGTCCGAACTTTATTCCGTTCTGACATCGAGGTCCGTTCAGAAGCGAGACAGACAAGTTCTCGGAGGTATACGCGATCGATTTTCTACTTATAGTTAAAATATTTTTGAACTCACCCAGAATAAATCTGTCGATTTTCAGACGCGTACCAGCTGGTTTCCATAACTCCAGCACCAGACATCCTGTCGGTCAGCGGATCCACACAAGTCACCGACTTAACTGTATCAGAAAATCGCGCTGGAACTCGGCGAACTAACAGAAGGCAGAAACGGGGATCGTCCAGTAAAACGGATGATCAGTCGTTGGTCACGGCGACGATGGAGAACACGAACACGAGTAATGCCAGCTTCACAGAGGGACTCCTCGAGGAGCCTTTGAAGCCACGATGGATCCTGCAACCGAATGAGACACAGACGTTTAAGGTCCGTTTTCAGCCGAAAGAAACGGGTCTGTACGATGAAATCTACGCCGTTACCATCGCAGATGGGAATAATGTCACTTACGAGGTGAATATCAACGGCGTCGCGGACATACCAAGACTGGACATGAATCCCGAATCGATTTTCGATAAAGTAAATTGGAAACTGCATTCGCAAAATAAACATACCTCTACTATAATCCAATTTAAAATGTCTCACCTTTCGAAACACTCGTATACGCCGCAGGTTATGGACACCACTGTGAATACAAGCGATCCCGCGTACTTTCTTGACCGCCAGATTTACGATTTCGGATCGATACTTGTCCTGCCGAAAGACAGAAGGTTCGGTTTCCATCGATTACAAAATCCATCCCTGCTCGAATGTTTAAACTTTTGTAAAGCCCGTAGCGAGAATTAACCGAAATGCTTCTCGAGAACTCGCGAGGTTACAACCGCTTCTTATCTGCAAACAGGCCGCACTGGCGCGAAACAGAATTTAAGTTCCGTAACGTTTCGCGCGCGGAAGCGGAGGTGTGCTTCTCTCTATCGGAAAACAACGACAACTGCTTCTCCATCCAGACCGAAAGCATGCTTATTCTTGTGCGTTATCAGTAACGATTCCCACGTCGCTTAATTACCGTAGTACCATCCTATTTCGCCTTAGCGAATCGTACTGTTTACGATATTAACGAGAAACGAAATCCCTCGTAGCCAGGGGAACACGGAGTTCTGATCTTGTCGGCCACTACCACGAAGCTTGGTACCAACTCAGGGAGCTTGTACCTATGCGTGAAGAATAATCCGAAGGCCGAAGTGATCCGAGTAATTTTTGTAGATTTCGTAAAACAACTACAGTGGGCTCTCGATAATATTGCTGTAGTAATAAATATTAGATACGACCGGGTGAACCACTTCCCCTCTACATGTAGCTTTACGCACAGAAATATCGCTCTCCCACCACCACGTTACGCACGCCATCTCCCACCAAGACGATCAAGCTCTTGCGCAGACGCTGAGATTTTCCTCTCCTCCGACCACGGCCATCTATCGAGAGTCAACTGTACCTTTTGAATGAAATTTAAACGTCTGATTTTCTAACGGCCCCAGTTCCAAAGCGAAGGTACGAAGCTAGACATCGAACTGGACCAGAAACAAATCTCTTTTGGTAGCATCCTACTCTACCGTAGAGAGTTCCAGACACTGACGATTCGAAACAAAAACGGAATAGAGATTTCGTGGAGCTTAGAGCCCGAGGAATCGCTCGATCCTCAGATCACGTTTGCACCGAATCGAAACGCAATTAAACCATGGGACGAACAGAAGATCGAATTCTGTTATCATGGCGTCAATGTAACGCGTATTCTTTCTATAATAGATTAATAATTTACCTGGATAACTTCTTCTATGTTGACTGTAAATAGATGGTCACTTGCAGATAGGCATTATCAAGACGCAGACGATGATATTCAAAGCGTTTCTGTACGAGAATGACGATCCAATTTTCACAGAGGTCGTTCGATTATCGGGACAGACTTACGATGTCTCTGTTGATATCGATCACGCGAACCCTATCGATCTGAAACGGATAAAGGTCAACGTTCCCTCTAGTGGTTTGTTCACCATGAGAAATCGCGGCAATTACGAAGTGCAATTCGTGTTAGAACCATTTCGCTTAATATAGAAAAATACGAAAACTTCTGCTTTACTTAATTGTAATCGGATAATATTTCTACAGAATCATAATGAAAACGAAGGAAGAATTGGCGAAGTTGAATTTACCCATTAATCTGAGGAAAAATCTTGAAGTTCTACCCTCATCCGGTACCATTCTACCGAACAGCGAAAGAGTCGTCGAAGTTTGTACATAAGAAATGAAAATATAAACTTTAAGTAGCATATAAAGCAGTCTATTGGTTTCTTCAGGTGGTAATCGTAACGAAGACCGAACTGACTCTTCGTGAGGCTCAAATATTGAAGTGTCATTTAGTCGACAACAACAAAGAAACAACTATAGTCGCTGAGATTCCTCTCGCAGTTTCCTTCGATGCTTATTACACCAGGTGAAATATTATCTATTAAAAGATTCGATATTCTTACAACGATTATTTTCATTACAGATTTCGAGTTTACCCATATCCTTCCGTGGACTTCGGAACGATGGCATTATGTACCGAGAAAACCATGTACCTCAACATAGAAAACACCGGTAAATTCACGTTGCGTTACACCATACGCATTTCACGGAGTCATCCGTCCATGCTGTATAGGAATCAGATGTCGAACGAAGGTTCGCGTAAAAAGAAAAGTCTAACGGCGAGAACCACTGCGTCGAAGAAGAGCAAAAAGTCCGTGAAACTTAAGAAGACAGAAATCAAGTAAATTATAGCATACTCTTTGCGAAAGTTGTTAGAATGCTTTTTAACGTCGATACACGGGAGAAAAGGGCTCAAAACAAACCGGAACAATTGATCGTGGGTCCAATGACGATAAGTAAAACGGAAGGTGACGTTGGTGTGGGCCAAACGGAATCCATCGCCGTCACTTGTCGTCCAGAATTCGTCGGTTCTCAAGACGAAAAGATTATGGTTCTCGTGAACGATACCTCGCCCGAAGACAGCAACGGGAAAGAGATTACGTTGCTAGTGCTTTCGTTAGTGCCGTCGGTAGACTTTGAGGATTTCGATTCGATGTTCCAAGAAAATCACGTGGTCGACTATATTCAAGACTCTGATTGCCCTAAAGAGGTTCTCTGATTTGTGCCAGAGATTTCTTTGATCACCTTATTTGCATTATTTCGCCTTTCATGGATTTCCTGCACGATATGTACACAGATTGGATCGCATACGGTGTTCGCGCGTCAAGAAACATGCCTCTACTTCCGGTACGTCAGCGTGACAACCACCCACACAACGTGCTTCAAGTTGTACAATCGAAATATAGTTCCAGCGAACGTGGAGGTGTTGTTTATCCCGGATTCACGGACGTTAAAGACAGCAAAATCCGACACGTTCGTCGTGGAACCTAGAAGCGAAGAAGTGCTACCGTCAAGTTACAAAACGTTCGCGGTATCTTTCACGCCAGCCACCATAGAGGTGATACATTCGACTGAGATTATTCTTCAAGTGTGTTGTCTGAATTTTTGAACTCATACTTGTCCCGTCAACTAATTGCAGACGTTCCATGGAACATTGGAAGTGACGATACTTCTGCCTCCGCACTTGGCGGACGAGAAGCTATTCATCAAAGTGATCGGAGAATCCTGTGTACCGGAAGTGGTGATCACAGAGCCAATGCATGGAAAACGCGAAAATATTACGTTGAATTTCGCTCGTACATTGGTCAACGAGACCGGTTCCAAGCAGTTCGCTTTGGAAAATGTGGGATTCATTAAAGCCAAGGTGATCATCGAGATCGATGAAGATCAGGACAGCGTGTTCACCTTCGAAATCGCTCCTGAAACAAAGGATCTCTTGCGAATCGTGGACAGTAATTGCTACGGTAAATAAATTGCTTAAGAATCCGAAAGGACCATCTCTCTATTCTTCGCTATATTTTAGAACCAAACGACAGATGCACTGTTGTCCGTCTGAAGCCCGGAAACGTGGCCCGTTTCAAAGTGAGATTTTCTCCGACCGATATCAGCAGATACACCGGAAAAATACGAGTGTTTATCGTTGACAATCCTTACGAGAATATGGCAATTAACCTAGAAGGAGAATCGTACATGGAACCAATCATTCTTGAGGGTCTCGAATTTGAAGAGACGAAACGTAGATCCAAGGAAGAGAATCAGGCATCTATGCATAAGGGACGAAAACTCTCGTCGAGACAAGCCAGCATGGCATCAGGTGCGGTGTAATAATACCATGTAAGTGTATATTTATAATACTGACCCATGTTAAAATCCATTTTAGTACGACCAAGCTCAACATTCGCGGCGTCTCTATCCTACGTTCTCGACTACGGGCTCTGTCACGTCAGTAAGATGTACACACAGATGTTCAAGATCACGAACAAGTCGGCGGACCGGTGGTTCCGATTCCAATGGAACGCGCATCCCAACATTGTATTCGTGCCATCGATCGGTCACATCAAGTTCCAGACATGCAAAGAAATTGTTGCTACCTTCTTGGCATCGGAACCCGTGAATTATAGCAATGTAGGCTTCACTGTGAAACAGTGAATCTTCCCTACTTTGTAGTCCATCGATTCCTATATACTTTATCGAGAATTATTCGTTCCGTCAGACTCGTATCGAGTGCATCGTCTGCGAGATTCTTGTCACGCAACCGAACGACGATACGGCTTGGGACGACAGACAGACGGAAGTACGATGGGAAATACTGCACCCTGATTTACTTGAACAACCGAAGGAGACGAAAACATTGACAAAAAAGATCGTGCAACCCGCTCCTGAGCCACAAACAGACATCGTACCGGGGACCGGCAAGTGCATCCAAGTTTTGCTGAACGCGACCGTTGCGTTCACGGAATATTCCTGTCCTATCCAGGAAATTCATTTCAAAGACACGCTGATGTTTCAGGTACTCTCTCTACGTTCTTTCACGCGCTATCCTACGACACGGAATGTATTTTCCATCGATTCGAAAGAAATAGTCACGGGACATTTATACGCAGACAAGAGGATACAGGTTCACCGTGTCGAATCTGGGGCTGGTGAACACGCAATACGTTTGGAAAATAAGCATGGACGAGCAATATCCGACAAGATATATGGGTGACAGCCCGAACGCGACTTGCAGACCGAGAACCGCGGAGAACTCACGTTCCCGGCCGAATTCGCGATCATTCCGCGGTATTTTCTCCGCAACAAGTGAACAGCCACGTCATAGAAACGACGACGGGACCGGAAAGAACGGAGGCGACTGCGGGAATTTATTTACACGACGATGCACACCCGCGTTGTCTGGTAACAAAGGATGCTAGATCGAATTTTAATATTCGAAAATAAAAAGGGGTTCGCGGTACTCCGGGGAAATCGAGTGTTTCCGATTGATCGATTACACACACCGTTTCCAGATACCTTCGAGTTAAAACCCCCCAGCACGAGGCCGTCGGATCTTTTCAGCAGCACCGCCGGTTTATCCGAACGGACCACCGATAGCTGGTTAGAGGGGGACGATATGCCGTTCTCGATTTATCCCGAGGAAGGATCCATTCCGCCACGGGAATCCGTGGAATTCACGCTCAAGTTCTCACCCGTGGACGTGTTTTATTACAAAGCATACCTGAAATGCGGGTCCGTGTTCCGAACCGGTGACGATAATTCTAATAATAATACAGGGTGTCCCAAAATAGCTTCGCTTCCCGAAAATTAGGGGTTCCTGGGATGATGTGAAATAACTATTTCCTTAGCAAACATGTTATCCGAGGCTTTAAAAACCCGAATCAATTAGAGCGTGAGTTTGCTGGTCAAGTTCTTGCGGTAGCGTTGGCTAGCAATCTCAGCATGCAGAAAAATAGTTATTTTATGACACCTTGTATTGAGTCGAATGATGATCCATAGAGAAGTATTCCATTTAATGTCCGTTGTTTTTAATATAGGCTAGAGAACCTTCGTCCAGAACAATCGGATTTGTCGATTCTAGTCACGGCCAGAAGTTTACTGCCATATTGTCATTTCGACGTGGAGGATAGCGACTACGTAACCAGCGGCAGACGGGATCCAACGCGACCCAGCCCGCTGGGATCCGTTGCGGAGGATCCCACTTTGTGGCAGAATATCAGGGTAATCGAATTTAAAGTGGTCGGTGTCGGCGAGACTCACGTCAAGTAAGTAGTACCACGCTGAACTACAACGCCCTCGCCGGTTTCAACGGAAGTTCATAGCGAATTACGACCGTTTAATTTGCATACAGCCCGGAAACGCCGGAAATTAATCCGAATAGGAATAGAATCCCTGTAATTTCTGGAATTTTCTTTTCTTAAAGGACGATTCAAATCGTTCCTACCTTTTGTATTTGTAAAATAAACACGGTTCTTCGTTAAACCATCATTCTGTAAATGATGGTAAGCTTTGTAATCGATCGTGTACATTATCGGGGACAAAATATAACAACGGAGATATTCGAATGATTTCAGGAATTTTCATCTCATCAATCCAACGATGGACAATTACTGTTTTACCTGGAAGGATCAAACGTGCCGTACCGTTGACGAGATATCGAATTTTCATTGCACGGTGCCCGAAGGTATCGCGGAACGCGGGAAACAAACCGACTTGGCTTTCACGTTCTTGGCAGAAAACGTCGGCGTTTACGAATCCTTCTGGCTCTTCTCCATCAAGAGATACAATTTGGAGTGCCATTTTCTGGTCGTCGGGATCGTCACCGAGCCCTCGGTGCACTTGCTTACGGTCCACGTGAAACTGAAGCCGACAATCTTAGGTTGTAGTCTCGAGTATTGCTCCCACAAAGTCTCGATCGTCAAGCTTACGCTCATTATTTTCCCCTCTCTGGAGTTTTATGTTACTGTTGAGTAACATCTGTTCGTTTCCCCGTTGGTTTTGCAGGATATACCGTACATGACTCGATTCGACTGTTAAACGACGAAAGTTTCGATATTCCGTTCAGAATATTAGAAGAATCCTTGTATTCGGAGGGTAAATATCAAAAGCTCACCGTGACTCCAATGACTGGAATTCTAGCATCGAAGACAGAACAGTCATTATGGTGATTACCGCTTCCAATTCCTTGTACCATTACCGTACCTCGTGCCATTAATAATTCCTACCCTCGGTACACACACACACACACACACACACAAAGGATTTACACGCGAGATCACGAACAGAATGGGTCGGTGAAATTTTTTAATTCGTCCACAGGGTCGAGTACCATCCAACCCAGCTCGGTGAATTCCACTTTTCCATTCAGTGCGCCGTAAGGCTGATGAAAAGTTCTCTCACGGTTTTCGTAGCCGCCTCCGTTTACGAGATCGTCTCTTCGGTCTCCTATTCCATCGCGACTGGAAAAATCGTACAACCTTACACGGACAAGGAAAATGTCGTTGACCTGGGCAAGGTTTTATAAGACGATTTCTTTTTTAAAATTCGTACCTCGTGAATATATATATATATCTTAGAGTAGAATAATACGTTAATTTTCTCTGCAGTTGATACTGAAAGTGCCAATTAATGTCAAGTTCGACATCGGCAATTCTGGCAAGACAACATTTTATTACGCTTGGAATCTCGGTATGACACCGGAAATCTCCTGCAGAAACGCCTACAATCTCGAGATGCATCAAAAACAGGGATATGTGTCCAGTAAATCTCGATCGATCTGTAATTTAACGGTCACAGCGTTTCAGAGAACTGTGATTAAAAATCACTGTGTGACTCTGGAGGCAAGTGCACTTTTGAAAAATTCTTTTTAGCGAACTTCCTATGAATAGGCACGAATGAAATTAATTACAGATTGCCAATGGCCCGACCTATCGATTCTTATTGAATGCCACTTCGAAGAAGATCGCTGTCCAATTCAGTTTCGATCGCTATGATTTCGGACCTTGCTACGTTCAACAAACAAATGGAATAACGTACCGTACTGAACTATGCGTGACCAATTCCGAGGACGTACCTGTCATGTGAGACTCATTGCCATAGTTAATAAAAAGAATGATGATTTTGTGACCAGGCAAATTGAGATAATTTTCAATATAGAGTTGAATGTAATTTCGAGGAGCAACCGCATCTATCAGTCGACTTGAACGCCATCTCCGAAGCTCTGTCTGCTCGATCAACGATCGTTATACCGATCGTTTTTCGACCGCTGAAGGAAACGAAATACCACGAATATTTAGTCTTCAAACTCAACTCGGTATACGAGAAGAAAATACCTATCACCGGCGAAGGAATACCTTATAAGGCAAGTATTCATTGGGGAAACTCAACGATCGACTTGTTAAAACTTTGGAGAAGTAGCGGGAAGACTTGAAATGGCTACTTAACTTCCGCGGTGGAGAAACTTTCGCGTAGCAAAACTTACCTAATACAGTTTCGTAAAAATGCCGAGAAGCGAGACGGAAGTTGAATGCATATACAGAAAAGGAAACACATTCTGTTGCTGATTTAAATACAAAATATGTATTAACCCGTCGAATATCGCGAAAATTCATTTTCAGATCCGTTTGGTGAATCCCCGCGACAAGTTAATTGATGTAGGCGGTGTTCCCGTCGCAAAATCCGTCGTGAGAAAGGTTCCAGTAGTGAACGAGGGTCGGTCGCCGGTCGACGTGAAGTTCGATCTAATAAAAAATCTCAGCGCTTACGGGGCGTATCGGGAACGAGAAAGATCTCTCTCTGTCAAACAGACCGAAGAATACATACTGCAGATGGAGAAAGCCTCCGTGGTGGAAACGAAACGTTCCTGGACACTGGACACGCAATTGCAGACCGGAGAACCGAGACTTTCGGATGTTTTGACCATCGAGCCATCCTCGAACATCATTCTGCGTCCGAACAAAAGGATCGATGTTGTGATGCGATTCAAGCCTACAGCGAGAATGAAAAATTTTGCAGGAAAGGTGGGCCTTCAGACGTCATCAGTCATTTTACCACTGTTCATGGTACACGGAAGCTGCGTCGGGGCGGAATTCCAGTTGAACAGAACTCACTTCTCGTTCGGAACGGTTGTCGAAGGCTGCACAAGGAAATCCAAGGTGGTTCTGATGAACATCGGTGACTTGGGTGCAAGGTTCGTTCAAATTATTCGATTGTATTCGTCCGGGGATAAAGAAGGACGTCAGGTGAATTCAACCGAAACGATGTTAACACGCGAGAATTAATTTAGGTTCAAATGGAACACGTCGAAATTGCCGGCAGATTTTACAATCAACCCCGCGTCTGGCTATTGCTCCCCCGGAATGGATGTCAACTTCGTTATCAAGTTCCAACCCTCTCAGCAGCGCAGTTTAATTGAGGGTGTGGTGAGTGGACGACCCCGTTTCCTGTTCCGGCGTACAAATATTTCAAACAATCTTTTAATTACTGTCTCCCTCTCTATGTTTCTTGAATCTCCTTGAGTTGAAATTAATTGCTCGAGTAATCTCAGACTCTATCAAAACAAAAGTATCATAATGATATTCTACTATGACTGTTATATCATTTTCTTCTTGCTTTACGTTGTTTTCCGTTGTTATTAATAGTTGCGTTACGATCAAATCATTTTATTGTTTTATTGAATATTTCAGGCGATAATAGAAATAGAAAAGTATACACCTCTGAGTATAAAGATTACTGGTGGCTGTTGTACATTACCAGAACCAATGGAGACCGTGTTTTTCACGTCTGTGGTACGCCAACAAGAAACGCAAGCTATAAACGTCACGAACAGTGCGAACTTGACTTGGTCATTAAAGCCAGAAGTGACCGGCGATTATTTTTTCGTTGACAATGCCTTACACGTCCCCGCGAAAGGATTTGGTTCTTGCATGGTCACGTATGCTCCTCTAGTCATGAACACTGAGGATACTCGGCATACGGTATATTATTCCGAGATCACTGTTACGTATTTTATTTTATTACATTCTGTATTCCTTATAGGGTACGCTATTGATTAAATTACCAGACGAAGGAACTCCCTTGATATATTCTCTCCGTGGGAGCAGCTTACCTCCGGAGGTCCTCGCTAAAATCCATCGAAAATTCCCAGCGAAAACGAAATACACCGAATTGTTACCTGTACACAATTGGCTTGACAAACAGCAACGATTCTCCTGTAAAATTGAGCCAGTGAAACCTAGCTCTGTGAAGTTAAACGTATTATTCACAGCATCGTAAAGTATCTCTTCGACATATCATTTTCAGTAACATTCTCCTTTTTTTGTAGCATATTCCTGTCTTTGATTTCTCCGGCAACGATAGTATCGACATTCCATCAAACAGCCATCGCGACTATCGTGCAGTGTTTTACTCTTATGAAGAATACAATTTTCACTTCAAGGTATAGTTTCGATAATTCTAAATTTCGATCAAAGAACAAAATCTAAACATTGAAGATTTCTCTTCTATTCGGCGGATTCAGGTAACGTTTACCAACGAGGATAACGAGTATCAATTTTATGAAATTGAATACGACGTGACAAAACCGGAAGTGCTCGAAACTATCAAATTGTCGACTTCGGTACGTTCTCAAGTATGTCACTGTTTGAAGTTGGACAATCCTCTGAAAGGCGACGCGATAACTTACACAACAGATTGCCAGGAACCGTTCATTATAATTCGTGATCTGCCGAAAACTGTGCGACCGTTATCCCATGTAAGACATGAAGTAGATCAGACTTCAATGGGTAGTATTTAAATACGAAACTTCCAGGAACACATAACCATACAATATTGTCCAATGCTGCAAACTGAGGAGACTGTCGTTCTTCTCGACATTTACTGCCAAGAACTTGGACATTTTCCGTATGAATTAAGATTGAAAGCCGCACCAGCTGTTCCGGAAAAAGTGACCCGTGTAAGCGCAATTCTTGGAGCCGCTTGCACATTTCCGCTTTTTGTGATAAACTACACGAAGCGCAATGCCCAGTTTACCATTCAAGTATATCATATCATGCATAAAATGAAATCGAGAAAAGAAAAAAAGAGATCCTTTTCATCTTTCACGATTAAATGTTATTCGATGTCCTTTTATAGATCGATAACGATTGTTTCACGAGTAGGAGACAGATCGAAATAGCAGAATTTAGTAATGGAAAGATAGAAGTCACATATGAGCCATGCTGTATTGAAACTATTACCGCTAAATTAACTGCTTCGTCAAAAACTGCAGGAAATTTTGTGTAAGATAGGTCAGAAAAAAACAAATAGAGCACTTAATGATTCGTAAATTTTATTTCCGTAGATTTCCTTTGATTGGTGCCTGCTTCTTACCGAAGCCTACAGGGCCTTATATCATCACCCAGAAATCATCGATTTCGTTATCTTTTAAGAATGTTTTTAAAGACACTAAAACCTTCAATTTTTTCGTTGACGTGCCAGCGATTTTTGCAACGGAAATACAATCAGCAACTCTGGATCCTAAACAAGTATGTTTTATCATAGTATTTGTCTTGTTCTAGACATTTTTCAATTAAATAAACGTTTTCTGCAAGAGTATAGACATCAAAGTGAGCATTCTCGAAAACAAAGAAGAAGAATTTATGGAAGAAAAGTATCCAGTTACGGGAAAGCTTCTAATATACTGTACTGACAATAATCTTTCTAATATCAATTGGATATATTATTTAAGAGGAGTTTCTGAATGAAATAAAAGTAATAACATAGCTTTTAAGTGAAATCAGACAATGAAATGAAATCTTTAATCTATTACACCACATGAATCTTGTAATTAATTCATCTCTGATCGGGTAACAGTAAGCACATAATACGCCACTGGCGTATACACAGCCAATCAGCTGTTTCTACTCAGTTCCTTCAAGTTATTATATTACCAAAGTTCTCTCACTTTGTGTCAGATTTCGTTTTTCTTCAACGCTCATATTATTCGCAAGGTATTCTTATGATAACTACATATACAGATTCTATAAAAGAGTAGCGCTGAATTGTACAGCAGTTTGGCACCGCTTTCGCAGAAAGCAATACAGAGATGGATACTTAACCTCACTTTCTCAGCCGCTCAGTGAAGGGAGCAACCATGTAAGCCGTCGAAAGCATTCCAATGTGTCATTTAAGCCGAACATTCCTCGTGGAGGGTGTATCCACATTCGTTTCTGCCAAGTGTTCTAGCGTCTCGTAATCCTTCTTCAACAATTATTCTCGACGAAGTTTCCCGCAAAGACGGGTGCGTACAGCGTTGATTCGTAGTACCGGTACTCGGAACCGAATTTTCTTCTACCTCAGCCTCACAATGACTGAGAAATCTAAAAGGATAGTAACAAGATTCCACCCAACTCATGGGCAAAACATTGTGCTCATGGAAGACAGTACGGTAGCTTATCGTACTGCCAGCTTTGCCAATTCCCTGGCCTTCAGTGAAAAACCCCTGCAGCCAGGTGAAATCTTCCTGGTTGAGATTGAAGAAACAGAAAGAGGTTGGAGCGGACATATGAGACTAGGTCTTACATTAATCGACCCGGCTTCTGTTAATGATAGCCTGCCCCAATATGGTATGCCTAATCTGGGCAGTTTGGGTTATACGTGGATATTTGCCATTACCAAGAATCACACTATATGGGACAGTTTTGAAGGTATTGCAGGCACAGGCTATGGTAAGAATTGATCAACATAATTCATTTCATCATGAAACCTGAAGGGATTCAAACAATAATACCTTTAGTTCTTATTATTAATCTGTCATTGTATTTTCTAAAGGTGAAGGAAAATTATCCAGGGAGAAAAAATTAATTACAGACGGAGATAATGTTCAAACATCGAGGGGAATTATTCCATTGAATGCTCTCAGACCAAACGTAATCACTTCATCTCATTATATCCTACCCACAGATGTTGGAAGTCGTATTGGAATTATGTATGTGCCACAGGCTGGCACTGGCGAAGCAGAAATGCATTTTATAATAAATGGAGTAGACCAGGGTATATGTGCAAGGCACATACCCTACAAGACAGGACCTTTGCGTGCAGTAGTAGATGTGTACGGCACTACCAAACAAGTCAGGATAGTTCAATTGTACGGTGGTAAGTTTACTTTGTTTCTTTAATCCAATATCTTTATTAATTTTCTCTCTTGTTAATAATTGTATGTTTCAGCTGTATCCACCCTACAGAGTGCCTGCCGCGACGCTATACTACAGTATACTAAGAAAAACGCAGTTGATTCGCTTCCACTTCCGCGGGCTCTAAAGGATTATTTACTGTATAAATCGCAGTGAAAAATCGTATCATTCCATCTCGTCACTCGACATTACCTTTTACCTTTGTTCGGATAATAGTATCAGTACTCGTTATTATTCCTTTGCAATTAACTGTTTTTACCAGTTGCAATGCGTTGTATCGCATGAAACGTGCTTTCATTTACTAGTTACTTTATTTTAGGGAAAAAAAACGAAAACGTTCATAATGACGAAGCAGCTTTTGTCAATCCAGGTAGGCGTTTCGTTAATTTGTATAATTTACTCTGTATGTAATATGTGTTGTTTCCGTTACAATTTGTAAAGTATCGTTCATCGTACGCATGAATGCGAAATTTCGATCTGTATATAATGTAAGAAATCGTTGTCTGAGCACCCGTGATTTCCGATAGATAAGAGAGACAGCATTCTCTTTCAGTAAATTAGCATTTATTGCTGCTACGCGTTCACAGTCACAATCATACGAAATCATTAGACTCACTTTATCGTGGGTGTAACATTCTTTTCTACTTTTACGACCCATTGTATCTAATAAAGATATTGTAGAGTTAAAATCGGGCGCACTGTTAACACTCGCAAAAATTGATCTGATTGACGTAATCAAATTGAGTCCAACATGTTTTTTCAAAATAAATGTATTTATAAAAAAGTAACACGGAGCAAACTTTATTAAACATTATTTCATTAATGGTAATCGTAACTTCATTCTCGAGATCGAGGAATCGGTCGAATTTTTTTTATATACTTTCTTTGCTTAATTTGTACGCGTACTTGTTGGAAGAGCAACAACTAAGAGTATTATATACGTAAACAGAACACTGAAAAACGCGAACCATCCGATCAAAATCGTCGCGTACCTCCAAGTTGATTCTTTTTTCTGGATGGACACGAGATTGGTAGTGTCGTCCGCGTTTAACTCCATTTCAGCCGACACTTTCGGATCCAAAATACTCATTAAGAATATTTGTCCCACTCTGCTTTTCAAGATCGAAATCGAAGCCGACGATACCCATAATGGTGCATCGACGGTTAGCTCTTGCAAATGACGTAAAATACTTGTTAAAATGAGCGATAACGTGGCCAACATAAGAGAATGCTCATAAAAAGTGACTGAAAAAAAGGAAAATTTCTCTTAATCATAAACATATTAATACAACTGAAGTTAGTGTATCGCTCCATATGTATGTCGTTCCGGTGATTTCAATGCGCAATAAAGTATTGTCGCAGCGTTCGGACTTTAAAAAAAAATAAATAAATTTAAACGACTCTTTTCAGTTATGAGACTCACGTAATTTCGGGAGACGAGCTCCGTTAAAAGGAAGATTCCACTCCATATCTTGCAAGCAAATCAAATGGAGAATGAAATTCATATTTGCGAGTATTATGCGTTCGAGGGATTTCGGCTCCAGCCAGAGAACAGTCAGCGTCATTGTCGAGAGCACTACGGATGGTAAAAGTACAAATGAATGCATCAGTATAATGCAAACGCTGTTCACGCTTTTCCAGTTATGAGTACTACAAACCTATAGCCACGGTAATATAGGCTGCACTATTCATAGAGGCGTATCTCTTCAAAAGGATGTGGTATGATATCAATTTACTATTGAAACCCATACCAAATTTCGAGTCCGCCACAACTTGGCTCATGGTAATATTTACCAAGTCCCATTGAGGATTTTTCTCCATCACTTCCGACGTTAACTGTCGGATGGACACGTTAATACGAATGTTTATATGTTTTATATAAATGATTGTTAACTATAGCAGAACGTTGTACCTACCTCGTTCTTTATCTCAATCGCCATTGGACGTATGTGAATGTCAGTGTTGGGATATGCCCAGGAACTAAATTGTAACGTACAATTCAACGTATCGTAAGGCCACCAGGTGTGATCCGACTGACAATACGTCGTGTACACCATCGTTGGTACACAAAGGACTCTAGTCGTGTAGACGAAGCACAGTGTTCTCGGCATATGGATATCGACGCCCATGTTTGACCTGAGTACAATTTCAGTTATGATCATGGAATGAATAAATCAATATCTACGCGATGATTGAACCTCGTTCTCAAACTTACGCGGACTGCAACGTAATATCCGGTACCCAAAGTTCATCGCTCATTATGCGAATCATATCAATACCGCCAAATTCCGATGGTGTCCATGTGAGAAGACGATCGGTCCACATCTAGGTGACAGTAAAACCACCGTACGAAAATAAAAATATTCTCTCAAAAGAATACACCTGTACTCACCATTTTCGTCCAAACATGCAAGTCTAAGGTACTCGCCATCTCGTTCTGTTAAATAAGGATCGGTTGAAAGAATCATCTCCAGAATAGGAAACTGTTTGGTTTCATTTACTTACGACAGAGAAGTGTTGTATGTTCATTCCAAAAACAACGGAAGTAACGTTTCTATGATCGTCGATTGGCCTGACATCGATGTCGTAATTGCAGAGTAGATACTGCTTCAACAGCAACATGGGAGAGTTGCTGGTGTTGTCTTTGCAACTCAGAACTGTAGAGCCTCCGTGATACAGGCGGCTGAAGATCATCAAACAGACGAAGATGAAGCTCTTCATTTTTGCTCGGGCACACAAACCGAACCGATAGATCCAGAACGACTACAGTTCGATGGATCGAAGAGAATAGTTGCACGCCCACGAAATGTCAAACCGTGAGCATTGAAAACCGCCCCCTTTTGAACGTCATCTTATCAGTTTTAGAATTCTAGATCGCGCAGCTGCCACGCTCCGCTCAATATCGAACGAGAGTAATTTCGTTTTTGATACTCGGAAGATATGCCTATCCATCTTCGATATAATTGATGTCAATGGGAAAACTAGGTGTAATTGAATCGTAATATCGATAAGTTTCTAACTAAATCGAAACTAAATGACATAAACGATATTAATTACAAAGTGATTGAAATATCAAAAGTCTTATATAGTTATTAATTTCAGAAGCAAATATAACTACACGTTTATCGCCATTCCGAATGAACTTAAACACATCTACGTTATAATTCCGGGCAGGAATACGAAGAAAATTGACCGCCTACATGTACCAATTTATTAATACATATTTATCAAATAGTGCACAACTGGTTATGGGTTAGATCAAGGGAATACGTAAGAATTAATTAAAAATGAGAACGCAGCATCGTTTATTTCAACGTTACACACTACCAGAAGTACAGTACAAAAGTCGAGACAGATGATTTGTTATTAAAAATATGAATCTGATCGATTAAATGTAAAAGAAGATACAACGAATATATCCATTCATCTTTGTTTTTCTTTTAAGTAGAAGGCACGAGGGTGAAGAGAATGACGATGTAGGTGAGAACCACGGCGAAGAAGGACAACCATTCGATGATGGCTGCAAAGTGTCTCCAAGACGATTCTTTCGGTTTTGCTTCAGTCTTCGGAAGGTCCGCATTATCATCTGCCTCGTTGTTGAGGATTCTGTTGGTGTCCTCGTCGGTGAGGATAAGAAAGCGGCCGGCTCTGTTGTTCAGAACGAACGTCGTGGCCGAGGAGATCCAATATGGCGCCTCGATGTTCATATTCTGCACTTTTCGTAGCAGCGCAGTTAAAATCAAGGCGAACACAGCCAAAGCCAGCGAATCTCGGTAATACAAGACTGGAAGACGAAGATCATAATGATAATATTGTTGCTGATGTACCGATCGATCCTTTTTTTTTTTTGTTTCAACTGCTTACGTATATTAGGCGGATTTGTGCCGTTGTGTGGCAACTGCCAATGCAAATCGAATATACAGAGCATGTGGCAAATCAAATTGACGCTGGCCACAGCCATTCGTTCGGTGGACTTTGAATCCAACCAGAGCACCGTTAACGTGAGCAACATCAAGGCTGTAACATGAAAAAAAAAATAGGATAGCTGAATGAATTAGATCTCGATACAAATTATTTAAACGAATAAATAAGTTTGTGTACCGATTGCTGGGGTAACATATGTGGTGTGCATTATTCCGTGGTGTCGAGTTATGGAGAATTCGTAAACGATCATAGGATACGTGTCGTTCGGGCAGCATTTATACTTCTTCAGGACCTTGTACGCATTCATCACTTTGAAGTCCCACGCAGTGTTGTTCGTGTACCCTGCTATTTGAAACTGAAGAATCACAGTAACATTATTATCAGTCAAAAATAGTAAAAAGGAAGTGGAATATCGTTGAATTCAGTTGACAAGTTACCCCCTTTTGATCCAGATGGAAGTCCACCTCCTCCCCGGAATGGGACCAGGAACCGAAATTAATTCGACACAGGTGAGTGTCGTACGGCCACTTCGAGTAATCCGTGGCGCATTTCGTGATGTGTTTCAAGGATGGCACGCAACTAACCGATCCCGAACTGAAGACCAAGCATGTCGTCAAAGGTATACCGTTTTGATCCGCCGCCATATCGCCCCTGGTTTTCGGAAAGCAAAATATTCAGCCTGATAACGAACACACATCGGTTACTTCTATTTCCATTCAACGATTGTTATTCGAATGCTTACGAATTGTAAACCGAAAGATCGGGCACCCATATCGTGTCACTTTTCACGTGAATATAATTAATCCCGTCGAACTCGCTGGGTGTCCAAGTCAGATGCGAGTCGGTCCAGATCTGTGAAAACAATTCCATGCGATTCATTCAACCCCGAAGCACGCTTGACGCAACTTCGAGAACCACAAAAGAAGAAGTTAAATATTACTCACGAGAGTCATCCAACTATGCAATATCATCTTGCTCTCCATTTCATCCTGAAGAAGAATCGCGGCTATTTGTCTAGTTACAGAATAATAATCGTCGTGTTAAAGAATAACGAAGTAAAAAGGACTTACGAACTCCAGGATTTTCGGTATCAGCTTTATGGTCACATTGTTCACCTCCTTGTGGGACATGACTGGCCGGATAGAGCGATCGTAGTCGCAAAATAGATGGGTCTTCAACGACAACAGAGGTGGCGGATTGGCATAAGTTTTGCAGGGCAGTTGGTCGACATCCAGAAAAGCATCTATTGAAACAGTTTTCCAATCGTGATGATGAAAGATTAGACTCAACGGATGAATACAATCTTTATAAAAGATTCTAAGCTAAAGCGACGATTTCCAAAAACGTATCGTTTAGAACAAAGTTACAGTTTTACTATGAACCAACGGTAAAAGGAATTACGTGGATCGATCACACGGATGGACCCTTTCTTTTTTTCGACACATTACCAGTACGATGCAGCCGGAGAACAGCGAGGGACCAGAGCACCGTCAATATTCTCATTTTTAATGGTGGAAATGAGCCAACAGCCGCCAGTCGACTGAACGATTTTCTCGATGTCGCGGCGAGACGATTATCGGACGCCCCGTGAAATTCGAAGCCGCAGATACGCGAGACGCCCCCAGGGGTGGTTCAACGGTTTTCAAGTATGTATTTTCAGATAGAACACAATAATATCGAGTCGACCGGTTATGTATAAATAGCTCAATAATAGATACTCAACGATGCGGAGCTTTTATACATCGGGGCTATTGTTTACGCAAATTTTGTCGATTCCAATTAGAGAACCGGAAATCGACGACCCTAGGATTTCAAATACCTACATACAAGATTTTCTATTACATAAACAACAGTCTGCAATTTTAGGATTTCCGCATAGGTGGGATAAAATTGAAATTGTACTTTAACAAGAACATCACCCAACTTTATTTTATTTATTCTACTCGCAACATAGGCTTGACACATGGTTCTGTTTACTTAATCCATTGTCCAGTATCCGTGCCTAACATTCCATAAACAATAAATCGGAAAGGAGAACCAATCGGTCGTGCTCCTTTCATAAAATCCAGATGAAATAGTCCGGAAGAGATCCACGAAAGACATTATAGTACTCAAGGACAATCAATTGGAATTCCCGAAACGCTAGGATTGGCCGACAAGAATCGGTAAAGACGTTCCATCGGGTCTCGGGGTACCGTGCTCAACGGGTTCTCCACACCCTACGTGCGTTAAATCCCGATAGACCGGGCCCCAGGCGAGCATGCGTGGTACCATGTTCTGCTACATTCTGGGAGCAACCAGCATGCGATAAGTGGATTGTAGTCCGTCTCGCGCGGTTCCGTGCTACGCGTCAAGAACCTCCATTGTTGTGTTTTCGTTTCGTAGTGCCATGCAATTATCGTCATACATCCGATTTCTGGCATATACAGGCTTGCAGAAAACGAATCCCGGACGTTCCGAATGAGACGGAGAACCACGCTATTATTCGACGAAGAAGATGAAATATATTGGAGCACTCGACGTCGGTACCACAACAGTGCGGTTTCACATACTCGACGAACACGCGGCCACTGTCGCCCACTCCGTCGAAAAGGTTCGATCGTTGGAATTTTATGAATTGAGTTCGGATTGCTTTTCAACGGGTTGGAATGTGTACAAACGCGTAGGACAATAATAGAGGGGGGAGGAGAATGTTTATTCCAGACACGATATTGTCTCGGTTCGCGCTTGCTATTTAGTGAATATGAGTTTTTGAATGAAAAGATTCATATAATCGATAAATCGAGGTCTCTTCTTATTAATTGATTCATGATTAATATAACTGTGTTTCATTCCATCTTCCGTCCGTTTCGTCTGAAATTAGCGTTTAATGTCATCGAATACTAATCTCGATATTAAGCGCTGCTACGTCATGTAGATACTGCGCGCATATTTTTATCGTGCCGGTGGTCCCGAAACAGCTGACTTTATCCTATGGAGTTTGCATTTTTTTTTTTTTATTTACCGACGTGAAAATTGAGCGGAGAGTTGAATAAAGGTGTGAGAAATAATATTTATTAGAAAAGGCAACTCGATCCGATCATCGATCGCCCGTTTCTGAGAGTATGCCCGATGAATATTTCATTGAATTTTTCATACTGTCTGTGACTGTAGAGGGTACTACAAAGTCAGGATAGATGCTTATATACATATGTACGTTTATTACGATATTACATAATGTTCAAGCAGTGTTTTTTAACAATATTTAACCGATAACTGATTAGAAAAACAACGAAGCACTTGAGTTTTAAATTGTCTGTGAGATACCACACATTTCACCGTTATCGCAGAATATATCACCTTATCACTTTTTTTTTTCACAGTGTGCACTCATCGAAACGCAGACACCTCTCGTGAAAAAAAATATTGACAACTGAAATGTAATGATACAAATTTAGAATTTTTTACTGCCCACTCGTAATTCAAAATGTTTATCCTCGACACTTATGATTCATGAACTTAGACGCCGTAACCCACGGAAAATACTGCGTGTGTTCTTTATCAGAATTTCCGTGTTCAATTTGTACTTCACAAAACAGCGAAATCGAAGACGAATCTATTTCATGAATTATCGGATCCATTAAATTCAAAATAAAAGTACAAACACGTACATACGTCACCACTTCGCAAATTTTTTGAAAAAAAATTTCTCTGAATCATTTGGCCAATCATTCTTTCCCGTGGAATATAAAACCGATGTGGTTGTCCTTCGTTGTTTATTTGTCAAGACGGCGGTTCTCCGGTTCATGTTCGTAGGAACCAGTTCTGAACAGCTCGCGACGAAACTGCTATTACTTCCCAACCGATGAAAAGGACATAGTGTGACCGTGAAGTAAACGATAATATTAAATTCGTACAGAATTTTAGATACTTCGTATAAATCGTATAATATAGAATGAGACCGTGCACAAGTCCTGAAAACCTTCGCCCCCGTATTTCCGTTCATTCTTATCGTTTCGCCGCCTAAACTGTGAGTACTATAGCTCACCGTCGATTTTCCCGACATTACTATACTTTAATATTTTTTTTTTTATCAACATTTACAATCTCAACTGAGATTCATTTCTGCAATACAAAATGACATATATTTTTAATTACATCACATACACCCATTGACCAAACTTATAACAAATGATATTAAATTTGCAGTTTACAATTTTTTTTTAAATTATAAATGAAAAAACAAGCATTCATGTTGGGTTGGGCACCTAACATTTATATACTTAAAGGAAGATGAAGTTTCATTTTACGCAGTTGATATATTAGCTTAAATCGTTGAAAATCAAAAAGATTATACTGCCAAACTATGTGATTTATGTCCTGACTGTCATATCCGCATTCACATGCCGGTTCCCTAATATTTCCTAGCCGAGCTGCTGCGAAATATTCAAGACCACAACTGGAGACAGTAGTGGGAGCAATTTAATAATACTTTAACGCGTTACCTATTAACCCACTTACACTCGGACGTTGCGTTGATCGCGTGCGTTCCTATTGGAATTAATTCGAGAAACGTATCGTCGTGAATGAATGCAAGACGCACGGAAAGCATTCAGACGAAAAAAAAAAAAAAACCTCCGAAACACACGTAATCGAATATAAATATAGTGTTTCAATCGTACGATGTAACACGGAAGTATTGATTAAACTTGACGTGAGAAGGAAAACCTCTGGCCGTCACGGAAGATTCTCCGCGCAACAATAACCATTCTGTTAATTAGCTGAATGATTCATTCGGAAACGTTTCGGTCCCTGTCACGAACTGTTACGAAATTTATTCGTATTATTCATAATACGACGCGCAATTTTGCTGATTGACTTTTCATTGAATTCAAGGTCCGGTTATTGTTCCCGAAACCAGGATACGTGGAGATAGATCCTGATGAACTATGGAGGGCTATCGTGAAAGTAATCAAAACGACCGTGGACGGTGAGTTATAGTAAAACACACGAAACTCTTTTACACAGTAATCACTCTAATGAATTGTAGCTCGAAAATAAAAAGTTTTGGAATTTTCAGCGAGCGGAATAAAACCGGAATCGATCGCCTGCCTCGGAATATCTTCCCAGCGGGGTAGCTTCACGACATGGAACATGAAAGACGGAAGGCACTATCATAAGTAAGCAGAGTGGTTATCGATGGTTATTCTACATGTAATTATTTATATTCCACTTCTTCGATAACCTTATCGGTGACCTCGTGTTTCAGTTTTATAACTTGGAAAGATCTACGCGCTGACGGCATGGTCAAGGAATGGAATTCGTCTATCACAATGAAGGGACTACGCCTAGGATCGCAAATATTATACACCGTGTCCAGGCGAAAGCGATACTTGGCCGCTAGCGTTTTTAAGTTTATGAACACGCAGGTTCGTCTTCGAATGTACATATTCGGTCTAGTTAAACCGGAAATACGAGCCACGAATGTACCTCTCGCTTCTTCGATCGCGAAACACCTTTCCATTCGTCTACAAATGTTTCTGAACTCGCCGCACGGCTGTCTTTGAATATGCAGTTAATTCGAAACCCTCTTCCGCGAAGTTGACGAACTTTTTGTTTCTCCGATTGTCCACGTTTTTTATCGTTTATTTTCCAAATTGATATCTAGATATCTTTGAGACTATTATGGGCGTTGCAACACGTGCCGGGTTTACAGGAGGCAGCGAACAGCGGAAACGCGGTTTTCGGAGGCGTTGATTGCTGGCTTTTGTATAAACTCACTGGTACGATTACGAGAATATTAAATATACACAATTAATATACACGATAATTGATACCGATTCGGTGCGTCCAAATGTTGGCAAAAAAAATCGCTTTCCCACGGAATTCTTATTTGTTTATCGTGGGGTTTTTTTTCACGGCAGGAAGACACGTGACGGATATCTCGAGCGCATCGGCGACAGGACTGTTCGATCCGTTCACGTTGAGCTGGTCAAGCGTGATCATAAACATGCTCAAGCTTCCGTACAATATCTTCCCGGAAGTGGTGGACACGGCCGGCGATTTTGGCGTGACGCCGAAAGAAATTTTCGGTATCGAGATTCCGATTGTTTGCTCGGTAAGCTTCGGGTTATACATAGTAAAAATCTTTCGCTCGAAGTGAATACAATGGAAAAAAAACAAGTAATATGTATGTTATTTAAAGTAGATAGCAGATCAGTCCGCTTCGATGTTTGGTTCAGGATGCACGCAGCCAGGGGAATTGAAGATCACGATGGGTACGGGGACGTTCGTTAACGTGAACACGGGAACAAAAGCTCACGCTTCGGTTACAGGTAATTTCAGATCCCTGAAAACACGCAGGTCTCTTTCGTAATAAGTAGACTACCGATTTTATGCATTTATAGCTGGCAGAGTTCTGTGAGATAGAAGAAAAAATGAAACTTTCGTCAGATGTAACGAGTTCTCTATTTAATTCTTCGCCCAATAAGACGTTTAAAGGAGGGAAAAATTGTATAGTTTTGTTCTTGTCTTTATGAATTACCTTATGAAATGTCATGTTGCATAAAAATCTGCAGTCTAGTAATAAGTATAGCAAATGATCCGTAACATTAGTTTTAAATATAGTAGACTCCCGCTTAACATGTATCACTTATCATTTCTAGGTAGTTACTGAAAAAAATTCATATAGAAGTATATCTGTAATGTTTATTATATATTTACACATACGTACATATAAAAAGCGTTTATTAACACTAGATCACTGACTAAAAGAGAACGTGTGATATTTAAGAAAAATGTTATTTTTATTGAGGTAGAAACCTACGTTATAAGTATTTATGATGGTAAGACTTGAAAATAATGAAAAATTCAGGTAGTAGTTCAGCACAACTGAAGCACTTGTTGGCGATATTTGAGAGCAACGACTTTCTGAGAATCGCGAATTCGAAATCGTAATTTTGAGGATAGTTAGTAATCTAGGGTTAAACATTATTTTTTACGAAGAAATCATTTATGTGAATTTCGTTTATTGCTGCGATATCTATATATTTCATGTCAACAAAAATGTAGCCGGATAATCGGGAGTCTACTGTAGATCGGTGTGAGCAAATACTTTTCTCAGTCGCTTTATAATCGTTTCCATATCTGTACAGGTTTGTACCCTTTGATCGCGTGGCGTATTCGCGATGAATTGGTGTATCTGGTAGAGGGTGCATCAAATGATACTGGCGTATTGATCGAATGGGCAAATAAAATTGGTAACTATTTTACACCTATTTTAAAAATATGTACATACTTTTAGGAAGTACAATAATATAAAAAAAGCATACGTATGTAATATAAGAATATTTTATAGTATCGTTTAAGTGTGTCGAAAGGTTGCTCGACTTTAAATGGCGCTGCTTGTTTCAGGTATTATTAACGATCCCGATGAATCCTCGAGTTTAGCAAGCGCTTTAGATGACTCCGATGGAGTGTACTTCGTGCCTGCATTCAGTGGATTGCAAGTATGTTCTTGAACAAAAAAAAAACAAACAAAATTACTTAAGTTTAAGCGTAAGACTACAGAACAGATTCACAAATCAAAAGGACACGGTGTTGTTCAGTTTTTCGAGTACAGACTGTGGCCCCAAACAGCAATAGAAAGGATACAGTTGAAAAATAAATTGTTATTCTCCGCAGGCTCCTATAAATGATTATTCCGCAGCCACTGGGTTCATAGGCATAAAACCGACGACAGAGAAAAATCACATCGTTCGTTCGCTGTTGGAAAGCATCGTCTACCGGATATTACTACTTTATGAATCTCTGTGCGTGGAAACGGCTTTCACGTATCAGAAAATACGGTATGAATATAGTAAAGAGTGATTTACGTTTTGTTTCTACAGACAGAGATAGAGTAAAAGAGAGAGAGAGAGAAAAAAAGAGCAAGATTCACCATAATTGTTATTGATTCTTTTGTACAGTGTCGACGGTGGAGTGTCTAAAAATAACTTTGTGCTACAGTTGCTGGCCGATCTGACGGGCCTCGAAGTGGAACGAGCAACGAGTACAGAAATGTCTATTTTGGGAGTAACGTTTCTCGCTGGTTTACAATGCGGTATGGGACTTGCTTGGTTCTATTTGAATCACGGTCACAGCATGTTTGCCCCTCGGAATAAGAATATGAAAACGAACACGGTGCATCGCTGGAGTGGCACATCGTCTTGTTTTTCTCGTCTTACCGCTCGAACAAAAATTTCTTTTATTCGCGTACAAAAATACTCGTCGAGCCAGTTTCGTCGTTTCGTTGCTCTCGCAAATAAAGGGAACCCGACTCGGCTACGACGCATGATATGGAAATTTATTTATTTCGTCGGTTTCACTCTGAAACGGCGATCTTTGAACATCCTGTTTTGCCATTAGTCCAAATGAAAAATATAAGGTTATTTTTATAATTCTTCGGTATTTATTTTCAGATATTTGGAAGAATCGGGAAGAAGTCTTGAGACTTCGTAAAACGGAAACGGTATTCGTATCGAATGCAGAGAATAGATCTCGATACCAACCGATAATTGCTCAATGGCGACGGGCGGTACAACGACTCGGGCAGTGGTATTAGAATGAACATGAAATTCGTATAAAAAAAAAAGTACCAATGTATCTGTCGAAAACAACAGATGTAATTAATATTTTCTAGTAAATTAGATTAGTTAATGATGTTAGTAACTTTTGTATAACGCCTCGTAATTGTTGTAAATAAAATGATTTATTTTTAAAAAATTTACAGATCGTCATTATTGATGCGTATGTATAACGTACGTGATTTCAAAAATGTTCCGTTTAATTATTCATACAGTTAACATGGTTAGAGGTGATTTTATAATGAGGTCTTTTAAAACGTCCTTGCGACGACCGCGACTCGTTCTTGAAAAAGGTCAAGGTAAAACTGGACTCTTCAAATATTGAAGCTCGTATCCTAGAAAGAGAAAGTGACTTCTTCTTTTGAATGGCCTGTCATCCGATGCACATAAGAAAATGAAACCGTACGCGTACCTGCTAATAAGCGTTGTACGAAATTCACCTCCGCCATAATGCGATGGTTCAATCGTTCTATTAAAAGTTACGGTACTAGGACGTAGTCAACGTTCAGGGATTTCACGCGACGTTTAAGTATCAAGCGTGCAAAGGATCGATCGCAACGGAACCGGGCGCACATGTTATTTTTTCACGAAAGTTAAATAACACCTTCGATGATTACGTATGAAACTTTCTCTATTACGGGCTGGCGATACCCGTCTCTCTGTGCATGGTGAATGAAACCACCACGCGCAAAGCCTAGATACATCTTGTCAACCAAAAGAGAAAGTTCGAAGAAAGTCGATGGAGCACCGCGGTCAGAAACGGTTCGAGAAGCCGAAAGAGAGGCATAAAGAAGAAGGAAACGGAAGCGTGTGCGAAACAACCGCAAAAGAATAGTACAAATCATTTTAGTCTACGATTCGTAATTTCACCGATTGCACCGCGAGATTGTTAACTAGCTGCTCGTTGGAATTACGTCACACACCGAACTACATAAATTCGATTCGTAACTATTACGGTATTATCAACGCTGTTACAACGTTCAAATTGTAATATGAAAACGAAGAAATTCATTGATTTATCAAATTTTATCGTTAATCAATAATTCATTTATAAATAGATGTGTTTCTCGTTGGTCGTTCTAGGGTTAATTGCAAATGTTATTGGAGTTCAAATTCACCGTACGACCACGATTTCGAAAATATTCAAGCTAGATAGCACGTCTAAAAATACGATACAGTTTCTTAAGAACATGCAACGAAGACAATGGAGAGCTCGGAACACGGCCCTGTATGTAAATAAACCCGACCTCGACTTTTTTGACTCGATGCATAAGTTCCGATGAACTTTCCTCCTACTCCCGTCGGCCGCTTCCGTTCGGCACGCTCTTGAAATCAAATTAATCGGCGTTCGATACCCAGCGCGGTGCGTGAGCGGCGTGTTGATTCTTGTTGGATCATCGATTGCGCAGCGTGTCTTTGATCCCGGTCTCTCGCGATTACGATTCTTTAATTCGTACATTTGTAAACACGGGCGATCTTCGTAACCGAACACGAGAATGGTGAGTAACCGCGACCACCGACGTCGCAGAAAAGAATGATCCGCGATCGATCGAGCATCCTCGGATGCAGCCATTGAAATCACCGAAAGATCGACTGCGTCACACGTGTATTATTGGGAAAACGTACATTTTCGCGAGGCCGTATTATGTGCGTCAATTTACGGAAACGGCAAATATAGTTCTGGTTTTTATATAAATGATAACAATTTTTCTTTCTGTTTTTTCTAAGTAGGTTATAGTTTTTGTTTTTTTTTTCCTGTGAATAAAAACAAATGTTTGCGCGGAGGATAATTAATTCAACGACGGTTGAAAGTGAACATGCAAGAAGAAATGTGTTTAGAAGTATCAAGACTCGTTGAAAGTATGTGGATGAATGTGTTTCAGTGGTGCGATACATTTAAATATGTTTCAATTAGAAATTGTGCTTCCTGTTAATAATTCCGTTACAAGTAGTGTTGCGTTGTCGTCGACGAAGAATACAGGACTTTACTAATTCCGTAGCTATTGGAGGCGCCGCGGCAATGTGACCCTGCTACGTATCACGCACACTTTTTTTTTGTCATCACTGGATCAATCGATTCATTCGCAGTAGATACAAAATTCCGAGAAGACCTTCGACGAAAGAATGTCCCTCGTAAACTTCGAACCGAAACTGTAATTAAACGTTATCTACATCGTGCCCCTACAGCATTATTGTTGCTCCTACTTTCCAAATATGTTCACAATACCAAATTGTTGACATTTACGAAATTCCCATTGTATTCGTGTTTCTCGGTGACAGGAATTTCCTTCCTGCTTTACTATCAAATGTTTACGCATACAGCAAACTCTTGAATCTAGTTTCCTCGCGGGGCAAAGGACCATAAACAGTGTTCACTTCTATCTCCTGAATCAACTTGAAACAGTTGAATCTATTACGCACGACGCTTAATTGCGCGAAGCAAACACTTTCTTGTGCATTTTCTGGTTATCGAGGTATGTGATGTCGTTTCTGTAAAGGACGTTCGCTGCCTCCAGTCCTGCCACGGCTGCGTGAAAGGCAAGATCGTCCTTTTCATCGTTCGCATATCGAATACCAAACGATCGCTACGGCTCGTGATCGTCAATATCGACGTTTCGGATGAACACGTGATAATTACATACGGCTTACCAGTCCGGATCCTATGTTTCATGTACGCGGTTAATACGTGCAATTAATAGTCTGTGGTTGTGTATGCAAATCAGGAATTTATTGACTGGCTCCATAGACGTTAGATTCGAATAGAAAGTGTATGTGTACCATTTAGGGAGTTATCACCGTCCAATTACAGTAGTGAGTATAGTGTCATTCTTACATTCTACTGCATAATTCATCATTGACGATGGCTGCATTTGATCAATAAGGTGTAAAAATACAATGAACAAAAAATGATCGGAACAATCGTGAAAAGCCATTTCCTAACCATTTCCATTCCATTTTCCAACTAGCGACCATCGAAATTGCATCTTGACATTCTGAAGTCAAGACGGTATTTACTTATGCTAATAGACGGCAAAAACTGGTAACCAGAGCAGCTGTCAACCGTTTCTTGTGATCACTTATTTAATCACTATGATTATATCATGCTTGTAGGAAGAAGTAGTACTAGACATGCCGGACATTAGACAAGACTCGTCATTGGCCGAGGCGGAAGAGAAGTTTGTGGACCGTGCAGAGTTCAGGATAGATATTGCAACGGATCTGTCGGATAATAGTGAAACAGGTGAGTGAATTTACATTAATAGTCAAAATTTCTATTTGACGTCGATGTCTGACTTGAAACTTTCGAATGTAAATATGTTTTCATTTATTTGAAATAATTTGAAGTAGTTTTACTGGTTGCAAATAGTGCCTCGTAATAACTACGGACCAAACCCTAACTCAAAAACGGTGACTACTTTGAATAATGTTCATTCATAAAAGTAATGATCAAATATACCAATTAATATAAGCGACACTTCGTGTGCGACAACGTGATTTATGCAAGTGCTTCTATATCGCTTGCACTATCCTTTGTCTCTTTCGCAGGCGCAAACTAGCCGACTACATATAGCAAGTAATTGACATATAAAAAGGAGTCGTGTAATCTTTTAAGGAGGTTCTTTTGCGATTGCACTCAGACAAGGCTAATGTGGAGAGAGATTACGTTGCGAGGAAGCGTCTGTCACTTCCCAAAACAGAGTTCGGTGATCCTTTGCGTCGTTAAAAAAAAAGAATAAACAGTGCAAAAATATAAATAAACGCGTGTATCTGTATGTACGTGCACATACTAACGCGTTAATATTGAAGGACGCATTTTAATTACGTGGATCTGTATAACGTGTTTTTCTTTCTCGTTTTTTCTTTACGCGTATTCTAAGTGTACCGACGCATTTATGGACGTCTATAATTGCAGTAATGCGAGTGTGTTCTTGTCATGGAAAAACACACGAAATACATAATGCTGTATATTATAAGAGATCACATGATATACTACGTATACTTTTACGGATTATGTGATTTTTAGGAATTTTTAAACGGAAACAAGATTAAGTTCTACTTTGATTGCGCATTGTAAGAGAACAATAACAATATTAAGGAATGGACAAGCTAGGAAACCACGTCACAATTAACGTAGAACCATCGCCAAAAATATTTAATAATGTTGATGGTATGGATTGTTCAAAATTTCATGTAGTGTCGTTGTGATTATCATATGTTTATCGCACTTTCTACATCTGTATGTATGCGATAACAAACAAATTCTAAATATTTTTATCAACGTTCTTTTTAATAGTACACTTCCGTCATCACCCTTGTAATTGATAAACAGAATTCTAATTACTAAATAAACTGTATGCACATTGTTTATTGTAAAATTGCAAAATTTATTAAAACAAACCATCGGTAACATTAGTTATTGACTCGAAATGCATATAGTGCTGACATCTAAAAGAACATTTAATGAACCTTGTGCTTGACTTCTTTATCGGTCAAGTAAAATGTACAGAACAAATTAAGATTACAAGTTCTCTGTATGACAAGTATGCCTTTTCAGTCTTTTTCCGACGTTCTTTGGACTACGAGGTACCTGTACGTATACTGTCTCAACAAAAATAAATTATGTTATTACTAGGTTCAATTTTCTATCATTCTCTGTTAACGCTTTGTAAGTAACGCATCAATGTTTCATTTTTTGTAAAAAAAAATCATGCGTTGTTTGTAATGTTAAATTTAGAGTGAGTGAATTTTCTTAATACTCTGAAAGATAAACGTAGAAAATTACTGGTAATTAAATCAGTAGTCAAGACGTTTTTTGTTTAGATACATTCAATATGTAATATAGACTCGTATAATTTTCCATTTTTTTAGTAGTTGTAACGGAGAACCCGTTTTAGATCCTTCCCAATTTTTCCAGCAGAATTTTCATATTAGTGCATAATTTTCAAAGCCTTGTTACGCAACTTAAAAGGCGCAAATAGAGATGGGGGAGGCGAAGTTTTTAGATTTATTTACGCATGTCCTTTAACAAATAGTTTATTTTTTTTTTTAGTTTTTTTTTAGCTCAGTGAACCTCTTAATTGACGAAATACATTTTTCCTTTGATTCTAATTTTTGTGAAATAGCTATGAAAATGAGAATTTGTCAATCCAGTCATGGAATATAAGTACTTACTTCTGTTTTCTATTTAAAATCATGACAAAGATAAGTGCGCCTACATACAATCTCGTAATTCTCGAGGGTATTTTATCGCGAACAATTGTCGAATAACATGATAAACGACATTTGGAGTTAAGATAAGCGTTTAATGAATCTCATTTTTAGCACGTTAGATATATGCTCAAAGTCCCGTAATTCATGTTAATTTCTCAGTATGTTGATCTCTGACTTCTGCTTACTCAGAGATGAAAGTCAGCTGCGTAAATGAGATGTGATCGAAGTACACGATAAGTACATGACCTTCTCAGACAACAATTAATATACACTTTTAACTCTTTTTTTTTCATATAGAAGTGTACATCTAAATATTGTAAAGAAACCTCCATGAGTTTTAATGTTCTTTATCACTTTAATACATAGTTTTTAGCCACCTTGTGTATGCATATAACCATAACTGATCTTTGTATGTATAGCATTCCACAATGTTCGGTAAGTGTCCTTCGTTGAGCGCTATAATGTTTCTAATACAGCGTGGTTGTTAAAATATTATTAGTGACAAACAAAAATGTTTTATTTCCGAAGGAATTCAGTGCATAAGAACGTATTTAACCAAACTGTTATATTGAACAATTATATACAAATTAATTAAGTTCGAGTGATTTAACGACCAAGCGAGCACGTCAGTAAATTAAAACAACAACAGCGGTAAAAAATGAATTATACATTTCGATTTTGCTGGTTTATTTGTCCACAGTAACTGCTTAATATTTATGTATTGTAGGTGTATGCCTTATTTTATGTATATACTACTGCTTCAAGTGTATCAGTTTTTAACATATGTGCATTTCATTTTTATCAGTACATAGCAGCAAATTATAAATATAGCTTACGTTTACACCAATTCTGTGTGCATATGTACATACATTATTTAAATCTTTAAGAGATAATCTGAAATGTTAATATACCTCTTTAAAAGTTCCATATCTCTGAAAAAAATAACACCAAAATCATATTTCTGTAAACATATTATCAAAATTTTATCTATTATTTGTCAAGATCGAACAGAAAAAAAATAAAGATAGTAACAATAAAGTTTAAGTTTCACTAAAAATTGATTTATTTAGTCATTCACATGTAATTTCTATGCTTTAGCACAATTTAATGGAAAAATGACAACAGACTATGCAGATGTAAGTATATTAATGTTCCTTTTTTTACTATGCACTGATAACTAAAAACAACTAATTAAAAAATTATTAATGAATCTGTAATCTTTTTTAGCTTGTTCAGAGAACACGTAATGCTTTCTTCGGTGGTAAAACCAAGCCATTAGAATGGAGGATAAAACAACTAAAACAGATAGAACTTATGATGGAAGAATACAAGTCAGACATTATATCTGCACTTGCTTCTGATTTGCGTAGAGTATGTAAAAAATTTTTTTTTTCTTTTAGGTAATTCTCATATTGCACACTCATATAATATATTTTTATGTTCAGTGTAAATTTGAGACCATTGCTTTGGAAATGCTGATCACTGTAGGGGAAGTCAGAACAATGCTTGCAAATATTAAAGAATGGGCAAGTGCTGACAAGGTACATCCAGTACATAAACGTAGCTATAACTGGCAATTTACATATGGTATATCAAATACATATTTATGTTGCAGCCTCCAAAAGCAATGGTCAATATGTTGGATGGAGTTGAAATTCGGAATGATCCATATGGTGTAGTTCTTGTTATAGGAGCATGGAATTATCCCTTCCAGCTTTGCATTGTTCCTCTGATAGGTGCTATAGCAGCTGGCAATTGTGTGATTCTTAAACCATCAGAAGTATCCCCAGCTACATCAAAACTATTAGCAGAGGCTATTCCAAAATATTTAGATACAGTATGTACTGCAATTAAAATAACAAATATTTCTTATATAGACCTCTAAATATTCTATATGTTTTTGTGTAGGATTGTGTTCAAGTCGTAACTGGGGGTGTTGATGAAACAACAAAACTACTCGATCAAAGATTTGATTACATATTTTATACAGGTTCTACCAAAGTTGGAAAAATTGTACGGACTGCAGCAAATAAGTTCTTGACACCTGTTACATTAGAACTTGGTGGCAAAAGGTATAAACTTGGATACTTAAAATTAGGAATATAAAAGAATAAAACGTAAAACGCATGTTTACAGCCCTGTATATCTGGATAACACAGTAGATATGAGTGTAGCCGTTAAAAGAATACTTTGGGGTAAATGCATTAATGTTGGTCAAACTTGCATTGCACCAGACTATGTACTTTGTACTCTAGAAGTTCAAAACAAATTTGTGAAAGAAGCAAAGAAACTGCTAAAGGAATGGTATGGTGATAATCCAAAGGAAAGTGTCGACTTGGCGCGTATAATCAACGAGAATCATTATCAGTGAGTATAATTTATTTTCAGTAATATTTCATGCTAATATATATTGCATTGTATGTTAAAAACATTTTTACAGACGACTTGTAAAATACTTAAGCGGAAATGGGGAAATAGCGGTTGGAGGGCACTGTGATCCTTCCTCAAAGTATATCTCGCCAACTATACTTGTTGATGTTAAACATACAGATCCCATAATGGAAGATGAAATATTTGGTCCAATATTGCCTTTTATAACTGTGGATAACGCTTACGACGCAATTAAATTCATAAATTCTCGGTAAGTTTCCACTTTGAATGACTTCTACATTACAAAGTTTACATACCATATGGTATAGACATAATGAAGTATGACTTGAAATTCACGATTATGTAATTTGCATTTTTTTTTGTATGAATCATACCGAGTCCTATGATTGTACATTCTCATGAATGTACATATAGAAAAACCTTGCTCCATTTTTCACAATTATCTCTACCATAGAATATGATACATGTTTCTAATGTATAGTATTCGACATGTTAATGAATTAATAAGTTATTCAAAAAATGAAAAAGTTATGTAGGCAGTAGAAGAAAGGTATTATTATATACCTGTAGATTTATTTACCAAACCAACATATAGTGATTCATTTTTTATATTTAGCGAAAACCCACTCGTACTATATGTATTTACCAAGGACAGGGGAGTTCAAGAATTAATAATTAATCAGACTCGTAGTGGAAGCGTGGCAGTTAATGAAACGATTATGCAATTTTCTGGTGAGTCAGGTTATTAGGAAACTAGTGACAAATAGCTTGCTATTGTATATACAGACAGTAGACAAGTGCTCTTTATATAAAAGGAATGTTAGGAAAAGTATAGTTCCATTGGTTTTAATTTCTGCTTTCCAAGCGACTAAAATTTACAAAGCACTTTGAAGTTTCGTTTTCTCGCAACATCTGTAACATGCTTAGTTTTAGGTATCAGGTTATTAACTAGAATTAAGGTGTCGGACTTTGATTTTATTATCTGATTACATTGGCGCGCATGGTAATCGGAGATCAGGTATTGCAATTATAACGAAATAAAATTGTGGTGACGGGTAGGACAAAGAGTGGAATGATTATGTATATGTGATTCTCACTCACCTTGTATATGTATAGTATGTATATAGTATTTGATTTTATAATTTAAATCAATTAAAAATTATCACTAGACTGCGAATTTTATACATTTATAACACATAACAATGCGTAGGACAAACAAAAACGCAAAACACTAAAAAAAGTTTGATATCGTTTCTATTCTATTTTTAACATAATAGAACTTTCCATAGAAAAAATACATTTGATTTAACCACCTTTTTTGTTAAATAGTCGGTAAAAATTTAAATTCGCATAAAGTTCCACAGTCTAATTATTTATATTTTTAACGCCATGCATGATTATTTACAGAGATAAAAATTTCTTGATTAGAAAGAATTTTTATTATGTTTATTCCTGCTTTAGTAAATAAATGTGTATTCCCCCTTGCTGATTACAATAGAGTTAATTCCCTCCCAAATGAATTGCTGTCCTGCCATTCGAATGATTTGTTCGTTATTTCAAATTTCACACAGGGAGAAGCCATTAGCATTGTACATATTTAGCACTGATGAGAAAAATATATCACTATTCTTTGATAATACGAGTAGTGGTAATATTTGCGTTAATGATACAATGATGCATGCTTCAGGTATTTGTTTCCTCTTTCTCTTAACTTATTCTTTACTGACAAAAGATTTCCATTGCTAAATGTTCTTCATGTTATAAATTTTGTACATGTCCATATTTACATAAATAACGTTTCATTATTCTGATATAGTTTGTTAGTTTTAGTCTGCATGTTTTTCATATGCTTAATATCATTCTTGTAGCGGTTTTACTTATGTATTTTATATGGATTTTTTCGGCACAAGAGAGTAGTTTATACCTTATTTCTATATATCTAATAGTGACAATAAGATCCAGAATATAATTACTCATGAAAATCCATTCCTTTAGTTGACACTTTGCCATTTGGTGGAGTTGGATATTCTGGTATTGGATGTTATCATGGAAAGTACACATTTGATACGTTTGTTCACAAAAAGGGTTGTCTGATTAAAGATTACAACAAACTGGCAGAATCCATTGCATCGTAAGAAAATATTTCTAGATTTATTTACAACGACTGCTTCAAGGTTGTTCTGTAAAAATTGTCTATTACAGGTGTCGTTATCCTCCATACACTGACAAGAAATTGGGCGTTTTAGAAAAATTGGTGGCAAAACGATCTGATATACCAGGAATTAAATACATTCCGCATATTGTAGCATTTGGCTTGGGAATTCTGATCACCCTTGGAGTTACAACTGCTCTGAAGGTATACAAACCAAGACGCATTTAATGCACCTTGTAACATTTATTCACAAAAGTATCAACGTCGCTTCTGCACAAATTACTGCCGTACTCGTACCGCACACCGCTTATCAATTTTTATATCTACGAGAATCAGTCTTCTCAGATTTTATATTATACTTAAGATAGAGTTGTTATACCCGATCTTTGACGTTGTGTCATGGTTTTGTTAAGTTTTCTTTTTATAGTTCATATAATATGACCTTTTATATCGCATTATATGTACATATAAAAAGATTCATTGTTATAGAGTCGGTGAAATGTAACATATTACGCACATTTTATAACAGTGATATTGTGTTATTTCTAACTTAGGATAACTAGAACTGTATAGAGTAAATTCTATTTGCATTTAACTAAACTATATTTATAGGTACTAATTGATTTTCTAAATTGTGATTTTAAAAGTGATAGTTCAAATCATATTCTAGTCATTGTTTAGCTTTCTCATAGGTTGAGTGTGTTATTAGAAAATCCAAAGAATTGCAAGTTTATATGTACCAAATTTACGCGGTTAAATAAAGGCAATAAAACTTGCTATACGAACCCCCATTATTTCAAATTTCCCGACCAGACACATTTAAGCTAATCACTTAATGTCTAAAATAGAGCAGTTGAAAGACCTGTGTATCGTTGTAGAAAAATACGTATGATGTATTTTTACATTTATACGTTTTACATTTGTTTATTTAATGTTAAGCACAGCACAACGAAATCACAGACTAACACGACTATGGGACATCAACTAACAAAGCTGGCTGAAATACAAACAAATTAATAATGAGAATGACTTTTTCAGGCTCAAGAAGAAAACATGTAGTGGAGCCCCAACTATATCCTTAAACAAAATATGTTATTGAATTGCAATAACATATATAAAAATGTTATTTATAGAATTAAAGTTTTTCGGTGTTTGCACGCAAAACTTTTGTAAAAATATCTTCTTGTTAAAATCTTTTTCTACGATAATGTAAAAAAATTTCCTTAAAGTGATTACTTTGTTATGGCATTTTATTAATGAACATCGATTATTTGAATAATCCAATGAAGGAATTTCGTTAACACAAACTAGGTACATGTACACCATTTCAAGTGATAAGAGTATTAAAGACAGACATGATACAGACATTATGATTTGAGTATTTATTCTGCTATTAATTATCTCTATCTATGCATTAAATTCGGATAATCGTTGTTCTAAATTATATATCATAAATACTGTACAGATAAATTAGAGTTGTATTATGTAGATTATATATGATAAATGTTAACAGAAGTAGCAATTTGAAAAAAATTGTACTTTTACAATAAAAATATTTTCTTATCGTTACAACTAACTATAAGGTTCGGGCTTTTATAACTATGCTATATCAGTTTCTGTTGTGGATGTAATGAAATTTATTGCAATATGTAGATATACGATGTATGCACACTATACAAACATATAAACTTGTTGCCATAGCATTAAATATCTTTTTTAAATGTATAAAAGCGCGAACAATGTACGACAATCGTTATGCACTGTTTTATAATACAGTAATATTAATATAATTAAAACGCATACAAAACAAACTGATGGCTTTGGTATCCAGTAGACAATCTGATGTTCGTAAGTGAAATTTTTGCAAGAAAAAGTACTTTCCTTTTAATTACGTTTCAAGAACGTTTAATCAGACTTTAACTTCAGCAAGTATGAAAGCCTTTCGTGAAAATATAATTTATAATGAGTCAGTATTAATTTTTTAATGGTTCATACTAGAAAATGAGCACACACATGCATGAAAAACAAAATTTATATATTTATTAACACAAGATTGCCAGCATACATTGCATGTTATCAAAGATTTATTCAAATAATTTTAATCACTATATTTTTTGAAATTGTTAACTTCTTGTTTATCAACGATTATGATACATATACTACCGTTCATAAGTGTCACGACATCCGGTCGATACAAAGAAAATACGATGTTTCGTAAGAATTATACATTTTGGACCACTTTTACTACTTTTTATTGACACAAGTCTTTTCCATCGAACTTCAATATCCCCTAAACAATATATATTTTAGACCTTACAAAATTTCATGTCTTACTACAATCATTTCATGTTCGATATGTGTCCTAATATTTATGAACGGGAGTGTACATATTCTGCAATATTTATTGAAAGTCAAATTCAGTGTCAGTGATTTACATACAATACATTAACCCTCGGGAAGCAGACGTTTTTGATGATCGAATAGACGTCGGTACCTGGGTCCAGATAGATGCCAACTCATCTGTCTTGAGATGTGTTTTGGAATGAATTTCTTCAAAATATGCTGGCTTTCATATCAACTACTATTACAAATAATTATACGCTTTAATTAGTTTCTGTAAGTTGAGATGGCGCGTGAAAATTCCTGAAATCGTGGGTTAAAATTTACCCAATCACCGCCGTCCGAGGGTTAATAATGTGTCCGATATGGTGTTAAAGTACTTTTTCATATCTTATTGACTATGGCAGTTCGTTCGAAATAACATATTTATCATTCAAAATATTAGGATAAGACACAATTCAATTTCTTACCACTGAACTATTGCTTCCAAGTGACTGACATCTCTCCTCCTTGAGTACTATCTCGTTGAGGACTCTATAGAAATATTAAAAAGAAAAAAAGAAAATACAACACATTAACGCGAGGAGTGTGAATCCATTAAGAAAATTAATTCATTACATTACCTTAACATGTATCTGTTGTTTCAACATAGCTGCTCTTAAAATTAACATGCGCGTACGTCTCTGGTACTCTTTGCCGACGCTCATAGACTTTTCAAAAGTTGTACTACGTTGATCAACATCTTTTGCATATAAAATCTGCGAACACATAATAAAATGTTCAAAAACTCCTATTTCATGAAATGTTAAATTTAACAACTAGACAACAGGTGTTTACGCGAATTTCAATTTTCACAGATCATTTTAAAGTAGCTAGATTCAAAGAAAAATTCGTTTAACCAACTAAGAGGTTTATTAACAACAAAATAGAAAATATATTTATGTGTATTAAAGTTACTGTATCATTATATTTTACACGTTTGAAAATGTGATAAATGCATGAAATGTGCAACCTGCATATAGCTGTAAGAATAATTACCTTATTGTGAGAATCTATACGGGCTTGAATTTGACCATCAAGTATTAATTGCATAAGTTCATCTTCTAACTCTGACACTGTTCTATTGAAAGCAGTCGCCATACGTCTCATATCTGCACTCAAATATGGACTAAAATATTGTATTAGTGCTCTATTTCGAATTTGTGTATACAACACATTTACATGTGGAGCTATGTACATATCCAATAGTATATTGTCCTTTATTTCATCCAATAATTTCAAACACCATGCATACTTCGATTCATAAAATGTAAAAATAATATCTCTTAACTGTGGTTCCAATTCCAAAAATAGTTTAAAGGAACTGCTGAAAATGACTTGCTTCTGTAATTCGTGCCTGTCGAATGTAGCCAAAGCACAAAGACCTCCATACAAAGCAACATTTCCTGGGGACAATAACTCTGGGCAATCACAATGATCTAATGATGCTTGTAAAAAGTGCCTCGCAGCCATTTTGTATTTTCTTGTTGCTAATTCTGCTAAGCCAGCTGCAACCTTTAGTTTTGTGACTATGGACTGATTGTTATCTTTGCCATGAACATCAGAGAAATCCGGTGTACTTTCAGCCTTTGTAACATAACTCAGTACATGAGTCCAATTTTGCAAGTAAACAGAAACTTTAATAACATTTAAACACATGTTTACCACATGTTTGCCACTGGTACAGTAATCTCTTGCCCTGGAGTAACATTTTAAGGCATGGACAAGATCTCCGCAATCGAGATAATGATCACCCAAATCATCATGACCCCTTCTGATACTCTCCTTAATCGAATTACTTCTGTAGTTCTTCAAGTCTGTATCAAATTTTTCTAATTTTAAAGCAGCCTTTTTGGACCGAGATTCAACCCATGCTTGGTCCAATGTCAACATATCCTGAGACGTTGACTGAGCTGCAACATCTGGTAATCCAGGTGTTCCCACAGCTTGTACTAGTTTCTTATGCAATATTATATATAGAGACACATTGTATGTTGTCATCACATAAGAGATAGCCATCTTTAATGCTTCTATCCTTAACATTGGACAATGATCAGCTATGTATATAAGCCTATATAGTTTGGCAAGACCTGTGTAACTATTTGCATAAACTTCCAAGTCCTAAAAAATATTAGAGTATGAAGTATATAGTCAGAGTTTAAGCTTGGTATCATATAGTTATTACTATTGAGGTTTCTGGGTATCAGCTATGTCCTTTTGAAAAAATTATTTTGATGTTTCATCTCAGAGAACCCATTCTAGTTTAATGTAGTTTTTACAAGATATACTTTAACAGTGTTTACAAGGTATATCTTGATTGTAAACTGTCACTGATACACTAATATCAATATGCCATGCCAAAAAGTTGGAATAATTTTTCAAAAAGGACATGGTTCATACCTGAAAATATCAATAATAACAACTGAAGTATGTAAACGTTGTTATTCTATAAAATACTCGAGTTAGACGTACCAGTGTTGGATTTTCCACAATGTATGGCTCCTCTTCTGCATTATCATTGTCTTCTGCAGGAGCATCAACTTGCATAGGCTCCACCACATTTTGCTAAATATATGAAGAACTATCAGATACAAATTATCTATCATGTAAATAGATAAATACTATTTTACCACGCAAAATTCGTAGGAGAATCTTTAACAATTAATATTTAAGACGAAAATGTAAAATAATAAAACAACTGCGATTGACACTGAACCGACATAACATAGTGCAATGTAGAATAGAAAAGATGACAAGGGAACGAACAATGTTTACATTCGTTACAACATAGGATGAAATGATTTTTATGCACAATTTTTGCGTGTTCTTTCGAAATTTTACCTGAACGTCGTGTACTTGCAACGGCATGTCAACGTTCTCTCTTGCGTTTACACCAGTTTACACCTCAGGAACTACGAAAGAAAACAAAAATTCAACATAAAACCGAAACGTACGCTTGTACGGCCTGTACAATATAGGCAATCAAAAATAAAATAAGATATTTCTCCGTTATGTTTGGATAAATTTCTGTATACATACTCGAAAAATATGTAATACCGACGATCAAAATAGTTGCCCAGCTAACTCCGACAATTTGAGGGTCACCAGCCAACGTAAGAACACTTTCTTATGCTGTAGTATTCAATGGTTTATATCGAAAAGTACAGAAAAATAGAAAAAGGACGGATTACATATTTCTTTCTTCAGTGCCAAATTGTTTGCTGAAGCTGTCTGAATCGATATTATACATAAGTAATTTTCACTTTTAGCGTTTTTAATTAATGTACAATATTATTTATATGTATGTATGTACCTTGTGTTCATGCTTTATCGGTATTGTCAGGTATTGACACTAAAATGGTAAGGGGCTACGTCGCCCCCATACCGTAGGACACAAAGAAGCATTAGATGATAGGTCTATCCCATACCTAATCAATGTTTATACTAATTGACTAATAGCTTTAGCGTTTTATCATAGATGACACTCTAGTTATTTTCAATTACTTTTTCATGACGTACTAACAGATTAAATATTAATTAGAGAATACAACAAAAAAGAATTACAAAACACACGATTAAGTAAAGATTTTAATGCTTCCTATTTGTATTTTATTATAATGATGTGAAGAGATTTTTTTGAAATTCATTGTTCGACATATTTTACCAAACAAATAGGGATTTTAGAATAATGATAAAAAGGCACCAGTAAACAATCGAAAATTTCCACGAGAAACGAGGAAATTGTGGTCGATACGATCGAATACAATATTAAAATGGAACCTACGACTAAACAACCTGGTTGCAGAAGACGCGTGATATCTGTTTAGTAGTCGTGTCCAATATGGCGTGTGTATTGTGAATTGCATTAACGTGCAGGTAAGACTCGCCTTGATTTTGTTCAATTTTCATCCAACAGATAAGTTAATGGATGAAAATCTGTGCGTCTTACGGCCGTGGCTTCTCGTGTTTATTGGTACTTTCGTTCACATTCTGTGTAACTGATTATTAATGTATTTTTTTCTTTAAAATATGTGAACTTTGTCAACCTTTGCACCTTCAAGGTCCGATTAGTGAGGTACATTTGCAATGACAGGTGTGTCGTGTGAAAAATATCTGTCCTCAATCGGACAGTTTCGCGTAAAAGTAACACTTTGAAATTAAATGAACGAAGACAATTTGTTGGAAGATGATTGCTGGGCAATAAAAACCATCTGTGATAACTATTTAATTGGAGCAGAATTTAATAAAATTTGAAATTAAAACATTTCAATACCATTCCCAACAGTGAACTTCAAAGGGCATTAAAATAAAATAAAATGTAAAAAATAACATTTTTATATATTGTGTGTTTGATATACATATATGTTGCAATTACCAAAGAAAACACAATTAAAATAGATTGTGAATTGAAATAAAGTTTCATGTATTGTACTGAAATATTAAGAAGTTATCATGCAGTGTCAATTTATTACACTTTGCATTCGTAAAACTTAAAATTTTAAATGCAAGAGGTTTTAGACACTTATGATATTTCAACGTTCAAAATTATTATGCCACAGAATTATTACATGGTTTTATTTTTTTGCAGGTTCTGTTCCTGCCTCTAGTGCAATCATTCTTATGAATAGAGGGAATGAATTAAATACAAGAAACTTGTAATTGAACAATGTACAATGAACTACGGTGGGAATATGCCAGATTGGCACCAGTTTAATGCCTCACAAACAAATGAAGTAACACCTGCTACACAAAATGTTAATTCTGGTCATTTGGCATTCATTCCTGGTGTTAGCCCACCAACATTGAATGCACATAGTTTTAGCTCTGAAGGTCTTAATAAACATCAACATGATTCTAATTTTAATCCAAGAAACTTTCAGTCGTTTAACAATGTTTCCAATGGCACAAACATTTCGAACAACAGTCCTCTTGCATCCATGGTGCAAATGCAAAATTGTATTGGGCACTACAGCTCTCCAAATACAAGAAATCCTATGCTAGATAACTTAAACCCTACTGTTGATCCAAGAAATAATACAATTGGGAATATAAACAATGAGTTAGGATATAGAAGTAATCAGGTGTCTTTCAACGGCCCTATAAGTCACCTAAATGGACCAACTTGTAACCTAAGCACATCATCTGGGCCTGTGTCTGGACTTGGATCTAGAACTAATTCTGGACCAGGACCTGGAACTAGTCCTGGGAATGGAAGTGGACCTGGGACTGGTCCTATATTTGGGCCTGGTCCTAGGCATGGGCCTGTATCTGGAACAGCATCAGGATCAGGTTCAGTGCCTACAACTATGGGACCAAGAAATACTAATATTGGTTCGGTACACGCTGGGAAACCTGGACCTCCCGCGTTTATGCCCTGTAAGGGGATGTGCTGTAATTCAGATGCTAATATCAACTATCAACAGTGGGAAAAGTTTGGACCTTATCAGAATAATACACCATACAGAGATAATGCACATCCGTCCAACTACCAAACAGACAACAGGCATTTTGGAAATAATTGTAACTTTAGGAAAGAAAATCTAGATGGCAAAGAAACAATGGGATCCGTAATGCCCAGCACACCTGTTGTAGATCACAGAAGAAATTTTACCGATTACAAGTACCATAAAGATCATTTATTACATAGAAATTATTCAACATCCACAGGACTGTTTCCTAATTATCCCACGCAAAATTACAATTACTCGACAGAGCAACAAACATATCCTTATCCAGTAAAAGAGCATTCAAAGACGAGTAATATTAGTATTCCGAATTCAGGAATGTTGAAGCATCCGGAACAAAATTTTGTTGCTCAACAGAAGTATAATAATAAACAGTATCAGTATCAAAACAGAAACATGTTACCTAAAGGAGTGCCTGCCTTAAATGTTAGCGGCAATATGGTATCATCACCACAGAATGCTTACTTCAATTCGCAATTCTCCAGAAACATTCCAGCAGAGATGTCTCCTGAATGTCAAGAAATTAATGCTGATAATACTACAGTATCTAATAGAATAGCAGGTGCTTTTGTGCACAGCTCCCCTTCTCAACATCAAACGTACCAACATAAAATGGCAATGCAAAAATTTTCAATGGAAAATCATCTCAGAGAGTTGAGTAGAATACCTGGATATCAATCACATCCAAAGTACAAAGAATACGTTATGAGGTATAGGGAGATACTGAAGTTACAGCAATCAACTGGTTACCAAAATCACGTTCAACAAACTTCGCGAGTCTCAACGCCAATTAATACCGCAGTACCACCGATTAATTTACAATTCGATCAAAATGGCATGTTGATAAACTCTAATTATTTGCCAAATGGCATTCCTAAATTACAACATGCATCACCTGCAGAACAATCGTCAGAGACTATGGAGAAACAAATTAAAGATCAAGCTATTGCTATAGCAAATGAAAAGTGTCAACAAACACAGCAGCAAGAACAATTAATGATTCCCTCGCAAAGTGAACAAGTTCCTTCCACATGCATAGAAAGCTTTCAGAAGCAAAGCTTTCAACAGGACTTTAATCAAAATCAGTTGAAAGTACAAACAAGCGACAGTCATAGTTTTGATACTTTAAATACTGATAACAGTAAGAAAACAATGATACAGCAGAAACCTTCTAAAGAATTCGCTAACAAACCGGAGCTCGATGTGCGACAGTTTCTAGCAAATTGGGATGAAACTGATGAGGAAGACGGAGCAACGTCAAACTTGCCAGACGCGGTTTTAAACGAAACAACGCCGGTCGTAGTCGTAAGCTACGAAAATGTAGATCTCTCGTCGAAAACATCACTGAACAGAGATCTGTCTAGGAAAAACAGTTTTTCCTCAAACGATACCACATTGGACAACGGTAACGAGGCTGAAGCAAGCATGATAACGCAAGATTGTTTAACGATATCATATTCATCTTCAGATGCTAATGATATTACCAAAACTACTAAACGAACTATAGGAGAAGGTGTGGTAAAGCCTGGAAGTATCATACATTGTATAAGTAATGGCCCTGACGAGATACCTACGATACATATTGTAGATAATTTAGAAATAAGCAACATTTTAGGAGCATCCAGCGACCAAGTTATAGAAACTTTAGAAAAGCAAAAGACAGTACCATTCTTCAAAGAAGTAACTAATAACGAAACAGAAGAAATCATTCTTGAGACTGCTGAACAGAATGACAAGGATGAACCTCATAGATTACCTGCTGGCTATGATGATGTAGCCAAGAATACCAATATCGAGAATTCCAACGTTTCAGAGACAATTCAAACAACTACTGTTCCCATAAATAATCAAGGACTGAGAGTTTTATCAGCTGCGGTAAAGAATAATCTGGACGTTACGGATGAGTTGAAAAAACAAAACAGTTTTGCCAGCGAAGAATCACATAATCCCGATGATATCAGTTTACCGGATCTCCCAACATCCGAGTGTACACCAATTTCCACAACATTGAACACACCTATTCACTCTGATAGCGAAGAATCTTCGCAAAACATGGAAGATTTATCTATATCTACAAATCCAATAGAGGTAATGCAAAACAGTCCGGTAATTAGCTTCACACAGTCCCCTGTTAAAATTGAACCATACGAGCAACTGAACAGCGAAGACAAACTTAAGAATAAATCACTTGGTATGCTAGAATTGGAACTTCAGAAGCAAAATTGTTATACAAGTGACAGTAGCAGTACCCAGGAGCAAGATACAAGTCTGAGTAACTTTGACTTTTCTACTGAAAACTGTAAACCAATATCCACTGATTTAGCCGAAGACAAGCAAATCAAGTGTCTTGAAACTAATTTGGCAAGGGAAAAAGTGTTCTTAGTAGAAGGTAAAGAAAGTAATGCAAGAGTTTCAGATACATGTGCTGTATTAACATCAATTGCATACGAACTGGAAGTGCAACAGAAAGCGATGGAAAACGAAAAGAATGTAGAAGATGAATCTCCTAACTCCACACTGGAAGGCAAACAGAAGAGCAGAGGAAGATCAACAGATTCAGTGAAATCGGCAATTCAAACTAATAACTCATTAGCAGATGCAGATAAGGCTGTGCATGTTGTGATTTCAACTGGTTCTAATGCAAATTTAGTAAATTCTACAGGCTCGGACGATGAAACTCAATCATCGAAACATGAAGAACTAACCAAGAAGCAAAAAGTAAATAATATCAATGTATCCATTAACACTATCAATCCTAATCTTGCAAAAACTGATTTAAACACAAGGAAACGGGTAAAGGAGAACATAGGATTGACAGATAAATGTATAGATAGAAATGCGAGTGGCGATAAGTTAATGCAAGCTCAGAAAAAAGACGTGGACGGTTTAATGTTATCGAAACACTCTGACATCAAAAGATTAGTTAGAGTTGATTCAGTCTCGTCTCAAGAAGAAGAACAAGCTGTGTGCCATATGACTTCTCAATACAAAAATTATTCTATTGCTGTGATAAAAGATAACGTTATTTTAAGTGATAAGAAATCACCCGGCACCACGGAGAAAACTGTGAACGTTTGTTACGAAAAGCCACTTGAATTTCGATTAAAAACAAACTGTACCAAAGAGCTTTCTGATGAAGTAGAAATGAAAAAACATTCCGAAGGTTGTAAGATGTCTGAATTAGTACAAAAAGATCTGGATACTGTGGATGGAGACATTAGGTACGTCTCAGGCGAAGTACGTCAATTAAGTGAATCCAACAGAAAGAAACACAAGCTGCATCAAGACAAAAATACAGAAGAAAAGTTGCAGAAGTATTCACAAATTAGAGAAAACAGAAGTGAACTGTTAGCTGTGCATAAAATATCTTTAGAACAAAATGTGTTATCTCCAGATAATCTAAGTTCAGACAATTTGGATGTATCGGAAGAAGTAAAAAGGCTTAAATATGTAAAAAGCTTTATTATGAATACTAATTCTGATCGTGGAGTTCAAGTTGCAGACTTAAAAATCAAAGATAGTGAGCTTAGGAAGGAATTGATCTTGGAAAACCAAGGACCGGAATACATCAAAGATACCTTGGATGGTATAAAAATTCAAATAAACGTTTCGTGTACAGACAGAAATTTTAAGGGACAAGATCAGAATAAACAGTTTTTGTACGAAATCGGTGATACTTCTAGCAATTTGTTGGATAGTCAACGTCGAATACATTCTACTGAACACAAAACAGTAGAATATTTTGACAAAGTTCATGAAATGATTGAGAAGTCTCCTGTGGTTAGGGACACTACAATTAATAAAACTATTAAAATTACGAATGATGCGGCCACATCAGTTGCAAATACAAATATGAGTACCACGCTCAGAAGCAGTGGAAAGAATTCGTTAGAAGCAAATGATGATGCTTTATCATCTATTACTTCCAAAGAAATAGGTAATCCGGCTTTAGAAAGTCAGACTGTTACTAAATTATTACATAATAATGGATCATGTAGGGATGTATTCAAAGCAGATGCAGTGGAGGATGCTAATTATTCTTTTAATGTTGATACAGCCAAGACAAACAGTGCAATATCTAATACTGCCATAGTTGATGCAAGTAACAAGATGTTAGTTAAGGCAAAAAATAAGTTCGAAGGAGAAGAAAAGTTTATGAACACAGAAGGCGATCATACAGTTAGAACGCAGAACGAAAGTGCGAATTTCGCAGAATGTTCGTCGCGAACCATAGTAGAAGCATGTAAAATCAATGATGATGCGGTCGACAGAGTATCTCGTATATTGAAAAATTTGAAGAAACTACCAGATACTAATCTTGTAGAATTACATTCGAAATCATTAAGCTCCTTAAGTACTCTAGATTTTAATTTGGACAAACTGGAGTATGAGAAGTGTTCAGGGGTAAAAACTGACGAGTTAGATGATAATTATATGGGGAAGTGGAAGAAGCCAAAGACCGATCATATTTTTGAAGACTGTGACATGTTCCAAAGTACCAGCGGGTACATAAATCCTATTTTCTCAAACATAGATGAACTGGAGGATTTACACACAGTTCCTGTATATACTACCAAAGATGGGAAAATATCTTATAGTCCTAATCGAAGGTTCACGTATCACGAATTAATGATGGAAGCTCGTAGGCGGGAAATATCTTCTATACGGAAATCTCACCATACAGAATCTTGGAACAGTTATTACAGTTCTATGTTTCGCGAGCTCTGCAAAAAGAAACGGCATCATGGTCTAAACGAGAAGAAGAAACATGAATATAAAAATACGAAGTATCTGTTTGAACGGAAGAGAAATTATTCGAACGATTTTTCTGGAAAAAATTCTGTAAAGTGCAAGGCCTATATGCACAGCATTAAAAATAATAATGCTGCTTGGTCCAACCATTGCAGAACGTACAGGGTATACAGTAACAGTGATTCTGATGAGGAAATTATAATTCGTAATGAAAATCACGTTGCCGAAACAAATAATTACGGGAAAAATTATGCTATAGAGAATAAAACTGTTACAGCTACTTCCAAAACACATAAACGTGAAGTAACTGCAGAGGACCTAGAGCTAGAAAACATCAATAGAAGAATAGGTGAAAATCTTAAATCTGATGTAAGTGAAATCCCAATGCCAGATAAATCTTGTGATGTTATTTCAAAAAACATTCAGCCTTGTGAAGATAAAAATTTAAATAAACACTGTGGATGGCCAGAAATCAAGGAAATTGATGATGCAAGTGTACATAACAATGATGAAAAGGGGATAAGTATTAAAGAAAATCAAATATCGTGTCCACCTATTTTTGAAGAAACAAAAGATAATGAAATACATGTTCCAGAAGGTCCTGTACCATTGAAAAATGAGAAACAGGAATGCAGCGTAATGGCATTGAATAATCAAAATTCTCTTTCAAAAATTGAAGATACTTTCAAGAATATGGATCGCACCGAAACTTGTAAAGTTTTGAAAATAAATCAGAGTGATAAATCGGTGTATAAAACTGATAAAAGTGACATGTCTCAACAGAAATTAAAAGATATTTTCGAACCTGAACTATCTAAAAATATGTCTAGTGAAATCGAGGATGAATTGCTTAAGAATAATAATAGTGCAACGCATGAGAAAAAGTTTGTAAAATCTGCTGATATTATTGTACAGAGCAAAACAGTAATTGGTCAAAATATGAAAACTACTGAATCTTTGAGGCTCAGAAAGAATGATGTACAAAAAGAGAGTTCAGGGAAGAATGATGTTACCTACGTCAACCAAGAGGAATACGAATCTCAAGTGGCACAGATAGATACAACAATTAATCATCGAAGTGTACAATGTAGTAATGTTAAAGAAATTCGATATAATGAAAGTGTTAATATCAACTCTACACAAGCAAATGATAGAACGATTATAAACTGTAATGGATCAGCTTTCACAGATCTTTCAAAAGCTACTGTTCATATTGAAAAAGACAATACCACTAACAATTCAGTGACATCTCTTAGAAATAAAGTGGACGTTATTTTACCAGGTATAAAAGAAAACCCAACTGAAGAATCAATGATACCTGGTGAAGATTCAAAGGAATGTTCAAGTGCAAGTTGTCCTGATGAACTTCAAAGTGAACATGAATCTAATCTTAATTGCGGGTCATCAGTAGAGGTGGAAATGCCTGTTTTGAGCATGCATTGCGCTACAAAAAGTTCTCCAACTGAAACTCCTGTAAATAAGAAAATAAACATTGGAGAAGAGAAAAAAAAGGAACAGAGCGAGTTATCTTTCCTTGATTCTTACAGAAGTTCAAATGACTTATCAGAGAGTAACACAGATATAAAAGGAATACCTAAACTCGTCATAAAGAAAACTGATACTTTAAATTCAAAGTCAGAATGTTTATTGGATTGTACGGAATCGGAAAGTCCTTTCGATAAATATGACGCAAAACCATTATCCGATCTACGTCCGAAAATACCAAAAATGGTAATCATCAAGAGCAAATCACGTTCTGCAACACCTACTACCGAAATATTAGAAAAACCTAAATCTGAAAAAACACAGACTCTTTTGCCAGAGCAGAATGATACGGATATGGATGTGGAGACCAGCGATGCCGAATTGTATATGTTAAAATACAAGAATTACGAAGGCAAAGTTCCAAAAGTAAAGATAAAATTGGAGGATATTTCTTCCAAGGACTTAAAGCTATACTTGAAGCGAAAGGCTACTAAGAGCATTTCAAAAGTGAAGATGAAAAAAATTAGAACTCAAAAGTCCAAGAATCCTACAAAGTATGAAACAGAAGATAGTTCTGAGATAGAAATTAGTGATTCAGAGAACGATGAGAAAATTCAACAGGAGTCACTATCTACTGAATCTGAGAAAATACCAAAATCGAAATTAAGGAGGCAAGATGAAAACCAAGCTTTATCGCCTAAAAAATCCAAGGAACAGGATACAAATATTTCGAAACCAATTCTAAAAAAACCTAAGAAAATAAAAGAAGAAGACACAACTCAGTTAAAGAATGGTGAGATACGAAAAAAATTTCCGCAGTGTATTATTGAAAAAATTCCTAAGGTTATAATAAAAAGAACACAAATTGGCACAGAATTCAAATGTGAAATTAGTAAAAATAAGAAGACTCCGGGTATTGATACATCAAAGTGGCAACCAAGAGTGAAATTGCAAAGACTGAAAGTTCTGGATCATATGGCAAAGGATATAAAGCAATCGAACCTTGGGTTAAATGATGAATCACATATTAAAGATTCTATTAACAAGAAAGATTCTGCTCGTGATAGTAAAGTCAAATTATGTAGATCTAGTTCAGCATCCAATTTGTCACCTGTTAAGTGTAAGCAGAGAAGATTATCTGACCCTAATTACATAAAAATGGATGTAAAATCCACTGATTTTATTAATATTATTTCAAGAGATAGTAAGCATAAACCACTGGACACTAATGAAATACCTAATCTCAAAGTAGTTGATAGCGAAAACAAAAGTTTGAAACGGAAGGGTAAGAAAAGTATATCATCTGAAAGTAAGAGAATAAATAATAGTCTGAATGATGAAAGTGAAAATGAAATGGAAAAAACGAATAAATCCAAGAATGCTACAGAGAAATCTTTCAATAATGTTTTGACGAACGAAGACAATGATTTATTGATTGAAAAAAAGGGATACTCATCTTTTGGGACCAAGGAAAGTGAATCATCGATAGAAGACAAATACCTACTGTGTGGTATTCTGCATTCACGTAATCTTGATGATAATGATATTTCCATTATTAAAGTTGATTCTTCAGATGAAAGCCAAACCACTATAGAATTTCTACCAGCATCTCCTGACAGCGGTGAAGAAGAATCAAAAAACCGTGAATTTGAATGTACAAATAGAATAGATTTAGAAGATGCCATACCAACACAATTGGAACTTGAATTAGACCTTATTGATAATAATGGTACACAACTTTCAGATGTGCCTGCTGACAAATATAATCATGTTTCGCGTTTGAAAAAGGAAAACATCAACGAAAGATTAACAAATACATTTTTCAATGACTTTCAACATTCTTCACAGGATACCTTTAAAAACGAAATGCAAAGTCCGAAAAGGAAATCAAATGATTATTTTTCTTCTACTGACTTGTTAGTTAAGGAAGTCTTAGCTGCTAAGGAGACACTGAAGAAATGTCTAACTCGATCTAAGGATGACAACGCGGAAAAGAGCATATTGAGAACCAAAACAGTAGCAGAAAAGAAACAAGGTTTATGTTTCAACTTTAAAGATCTTGAAAATTACAAACTTGAAGATGCAGGGTCTACATGCACAGTAGAAAAAGAATACCAATCGGATCCACAATTGGACATTGAAAAGGCTGAAGGAAGTCATTCCAAGCAAGACCAACATTCCTGTATGGGGCAAGACATTAAATTGAAGGAATCACAAGAAGAAATAACTTACTCTGTAGATTATCCTACTGCTTCTACGTGTGGGTATACCAGTGTACCTGAATCAATTACAATTTCTTTAAAAGCCACTAAGAAATATGGTGAAATTACAATAAATGAAGGATCTTTAAATATAGCGACTAATACATTCAATCCATCTAACAATCTCAGTAGTATAGAGGATACAACAAAGCTTCATGAAGAAAAATCTGAAAAGAAAACAATAAGTAGTACTCAAAATCCAAAAGATAATGACAGTTCAAATGAGACAAAGACAAAAGAAGATAATATGCCATTATTAGTGCCAGAGTTTGCTTTACATTTTGATTCCAGTTCAGATAGAGATAGTTCTAGATCACCACCTGTTATTACAAATCAAGAAGAGAGTGACAATGTGACGGAGGATCCAAAAGACACAAAGGATAAAGTAATAACTTCAACTGAGAAAATAGAGGAGAACGTCAAACATTCCTATAAAGACTGTGAAATGACCATAGCTGATATTATGACACAACTAGCTTACCATGAAAAGGTAAATTTGTTTATTAAGTTCGATTAAGTAAACGAAGCTCTTCATTTCTTTCAGAAAATTTATATAATTTCATACTATATTTCAGGCAACAATAAAGCATCGAAGATACTGCAATTTGTGTGAAAGATGGTTCCCTACAACGTCGCGACACAGGCGACACTTAGCTGGTTATCAACACCGTTACATGGAATTAACACAGCGTAAGAGTATTCACGCGCTTTTCATTCTGTTCACTGGTAGGCCTTGTCCAAGGCTTCTACCAGCGAACGTCATTCGCAACGATTGTTGCATAGGAGAATTAACGCCTTTACAAATTGCTGTTCAGGTATGACTTCATAATTCAAAAGTAAATATTATTTCACGATATTTGTATTTTATTATTTGTATATTTTAGGATGTGGCAAACTACGTGGAACCCACCGAAAATCTTAAAACAATAGAATGATTACAGTTAATCACTGCAAATTATTATGGCTGCGTACATATGTTTCCTGTGATCGCCTATAGCGGAACAAATAATGTAAGTGCCTCTGACAAAAAGTACTATAAACGACAGAAAAAGAATTCTGTAATACTTTCAATCTCAATGGATTTATACATGTTCATTGTATAAACACTATCATAGGAAAATTAACATCTATGAACTTTGCAGAAATGCATTGTTGATTGATGTTAATTGGTAAAAGAGTTACTTGAGAAAAAATTATCTTGAGTAGTTAGGTATTTAGCCAAAGATTTTAGCTACAAAGTACATATTAGATTATTTATAGTTTTCGAAGACTGCACAGTCTTTTATTTGTACAAATGAAGTTATGAATAATATAATGAATCGATGTGCTCGTTATAAATTTTTATTTATACTGTGAAGAGACTTATACATATGATGTATAAATATATATACACGCATACACATACACAGATATAAATCTAGACATATGTATACATATGTATATACATATACATATATGTATATGTATTTATTATTATCGTTTTAAAAAAGCTACATATTCTGGCAATGTTAAATATACCTAAAAAATATATACAGTTATATTTGTATAGAATTATATATTTTAAGCAGGGGTAGTCAATGTAAAAGATATCTATATTTTACGTTATGAAACAAAATGAATGAACTATGAGATGGTAACTGTAAAATATTAAATCATTCATTTATTGTTGCATTCTCGAGAATACATCAATTTTAATTAGATTATTCAAATCACTGTGATTCTGAATCAAATTTACGTTTAATCATTCATAATGAATCAAAATACGTTTGAAAATATGCGAAACATTTATTGAATCTATTTAAATAATATGCATATATTCCTATTCATACAATAAAAAATGTATTAATACATCGAAATATAAGTTTGTACACGTATATTTTTTAATATGTACGATTTTGTTTGTAGAAAGTATCATTCTTGTTCTGTAAAAGTAACATTATTCAGCTCAATAATAACATCTCATAGCTCATTGAAAAATTGTCATATAACACAGTGATACCTATTCATCCCCTTGACACATGTTTCTGCTTTCCATAAACTATTTAAATATGTCTAATGAGTTACTGTTCACATAATAATGAAAGTTTCAATTGTTTTAAATGTTTGTTAAATGTTTTCTTATTATTATATTAATACACATATACTGTGAATAGGAAATATCCTTAAAGAATAAGTTCCTGGCTATAGACACAAAAATGGAATAGCTATATTCCTTGTTAAGAGGCTAAAAAACAAGTTTTACTACAGGGTTACCATAGTATACTGACAATCGCTTCATAGTAATCTTTTTTCTGGTTTACATTCCAAAGAATGAAAGTATAATGAGTCACTTTATTGGAATAAAATATGTAGTTTTATCATAAAATCAACCAAATAGAAGTAAATATAAGTCTATTGATTGTTATTCCACTTAATGTTTTGTTTCATACGTTTGTTTTATCTATTTCATATTTTATTTGCACGAGTGCCTTAAAATACACCTAACAGTATTTGTCGTATCGTGTTATACATTATAAATAAATAATATTGAAGAAAACTATATATTTATGCGCACTCTATTCTAGTGCGTGTTTTTAATGTTCTCATATGAGATGTGCATAATGTATACTACAATTATGGGAACATAGAATTCAAATTGTACAGTTGTCAGCATACTAAAATGTTGTTCTAGAAACTTATAATTATGTCCATATAAATTATCCATCCTCTCATTTAGATGTATCCAAACGACTAATTGTGTATAGAAGAAAAATATGTTCTCATGATTGAAACTTTGTTATGCAGAAGTTTTATGATATCATTATGTGTTCTATGTGCCTTAATTGTAAGGAATTTATATACATTGAATAGCATATTGCATTGAACTGCATAATACTACTTATACACATATTAAACATAATATAAAAATACATCACATGTATATTTTGTAAACAAAAGAATCTGAAAGTGTTTTTACACATACCGATAATTATGCAATGAAGAATTGTATCTATGTTACGACGTGTGTGCTGAGTTTAAATGAAACTTAAGAATTTTTTAATATCGCTGGTGTGGATAAATGATATCAATGTAAAACAAATGCAACAGAATTGCATTATAACAATTTATCATCCAATACCATTATAATTAAGTTTGACTATTGAAGTTCTTTTATTTGAATGCAATATTATTATTATATCAGTCTAAGAAATCGGGATATCCTAGAAGAATCAAATTATATTTAACATACGCTTCATTTAGTTAGATGAACAATGGATTTCTAGTAAATTCAAGCGTTGACTTCCATTAATATACATTACTATACATTAATCTAAGGTTGCACTGATCTAAATAATTCCAATTAAGAACATTCATATTTGCGAAGAAGAATGACCGTTTTACCACTATTATATTTGAAAATCAAGTTTTATTATTTAATGTATAATGAAATGTAGAGGTGGGAAAAATGTGAAAAAGTTGAATTAGTGTTTCGTTGAAAGTATTTGTATAAACCTTTATTTGCAGAAATTTATTTATTACATTTCAAATTAAGTAACATGCTACATGTTAAGTAAAATTTTTCATACAATGATATTGTACCCACCTGTTTGTAAAGAATAATGCAATGTCTTTATAATGTTTTATTATCGAATTTTATAATGTTTTATATTTTTAACTCTTTAGACTTCATGTCACACATTAGATAAAAGTTAAATGGCACCATTCAAATAAAGCAGATCTGCATAGTAAATTGAGTGCAATTGTATATTTTTACAATGTTTACAGTTGTTTATTCCATCAAACATATTAACTTTTGAAATGGTTGTTAGTTGTGCAATTCTAAAACAGGTTCTGTTAATTTTATACACTGTGTGATTATAATGAAATAATTGTGTGACATATACTACACTAAGCTGTAAAAGTGTTTCAGATCTGTAACATATTGTCAAGTTTAATATTACCAATTATTTTACTTTTAAATAAGAATTACATAAAATTTGAATTCGGCAATATTATACAATTAATCATGGCATTTTTATAATCATATAATTATTTAAACTTATAAAAACCAGATTGTAAAAACTTGAAGATCGCTTAAGTTCCCATTGCAATTAACATATTGATTACAAACATGTTACATATCTAGACACAAAATCATTCCATAAAATAGAATAAGAAATTTTATTAATAGGAATAAGAATTATACAAATTAGTAGATTATTTTCTGTTATTGTACTTAGGCTACAAAGTGTATACAAAATTCTAGTTGATGCAGTGATGAAATAAACAGTAGAAATTATAATTCGTGTATCTTTTTTCTATTTGCATATAATACTTTAATATTAGTTTTTGTAAAAATGTAATTACTCTGCCTTGTAATAAGTATTTTTATTTTAGCTCTAGCATATTGTCGAACTACGCTTGCTACATATCCTGCAAGAATATAAGTAATCTGTTATATACATATTGAAAAACCTAAACTTATTTACACGATTTAAAATTTTTTATTTAAAATATTTATTGCATTTTACGTTACAAGTCAATACATGACGATGCTATTATGGCTTGATGGACTTTTAAATAAATTCCGTCCCAAAGTATTGTCCCTAATGTTTTATTTATCAGTCTTTCACTGTTAACATGAATTGTTTAAAAAATGTAGTATATTTATGTTGTTTTGGAGGACTTGTCGCTTAATGAGATTATACCTAAAGTTATTGATTTAATTCGGAACTCCGAGAAGCATGCGCGTATTTCTTGTAAATCCTAGAGCATGATGTTTTACAGAGCCTTGCAAATCTTTTTCCATTTTTTTACGATATTTTACTGTGTGACCGGTGAAACGTCAACGAAAAAAAATGAAAAGCGAATTGGTGTTAGAAACAGTTATCAAATGTGCCTCGACAGCTTTGACATTCATAGGGATAAAATTATTCGAACGCATGAATCTCGTGAAATGGGTGCTAAATACTTAAATGAGGGCGACGTCGATTCAAAGGAAGAATGTTTAAAATTCTGCTGTGGTACAGAGGGTTGCGACGTGTTTATCTTTGAAGAGAAGGTACACGCATTCTCTCACATTATTTACTCAATATAATTATTCTTTTGCAACAACACTTGTATGTATTGTAAAATTAATATAAAATAAGTTAGACAAATAAATGAATAGTAAAAATCAATACATGTACATATATTCTTTACTTATTTATTTTCAACTAACAATAAATTGGTTGCATGTAACATAGAAACCTGGAAGTTGTTATCTTTTCCAATGTGGGCCACTACATGACTTCAAATGTAAATTCACCAGTCATGCTAACTATAGTAGTGCAGTACGTACCAATTATAAAACGCAAAATAATGCACAGCTAGAAGAGGAAATACGTATTTCTCAACAAGAACATGAGTTAAAGTCTCTTAGGTGAGTGATGATTATATTAATATTTGTAATATCTATTATACATATACTGAAATAATAAAATTTCATCTAAACAGGAAAGCGGCAGACGCAGCACCAGTAGAGTATTCCTTCACTGAACCATCAATTAAATTAATTGCAACCTTAATGCCAAAATTACCATTAACTACACCTCCACCTTTGAAGCAAGGTATCTGCTAATTGAAAGATTACACGATAATAATAGAAAACAAGGAAGTAGTAATGTATTGTTCTATAATCACAGCTTGTAGCCGCAATCAGTATAAATGCCGATCATCAGGAGATTGTATAGCAGTGTACAATGTGTGCGATGGCATTCCACAATGTGCAGATGGATCTGATGAGGCAGCAGATCTTGTATGTCCTACAGAAAAACCAACTATGTCTCCTCCTTTAATGCAAAGGCCTCAACCACTCCAACAACCTCAACCACTTTCACCTGTTGATATTATAAAGTATCAACAAATGGTGGATCAACACAAATCTTTTGCACCATTGTATGCTCATGTTCCAGAAGTTAATCCTAAACCATGGGAATTACCTAATTTAGCTCATCAAATGATACCACAGCAACAGCCTCTTTTATATTCGGCACAACAAATGGAAGTACCTCAACTACATAAAGGATTTGGTGCTCCAGGGTACCAGTGGGACTATCAACCACTATACGAACAAAACAAAGACATGTATAGTCCTATTAATTCTCTTCATGGACAAAACAGTTTGAATCCCTATGAACGTGAGTGAAGTTTTTATTAATAAGTACCTTGTAAATGAAGTAGAAATAAATAGTAGTTTCTTTCTTTAGAGGATCAACCACATATTTTCAATCACAAAGGATCAAGTGTTATAGGAGAAAAAGAAACAGATAAGTAAGATATCTCAGTATCCTCGAAATAAAGTTAGACAAATTATGGATAAAATTATATTTATTTAAAATGTTCTCCTAGTGGTGCCTATGTAGATTTAAGGCACCCATATACATCGCATTTTATATCGTCAAATAGAAGTCCATGGCAAAATACTCAAGTTTTTCCTTCCCCATCCCCATTATCGAATGTGCAACAAAAACAGATGAATGAAGTTGAGAGGAATACAATCAGTACAACTACACCTCCCTGTGATGTATGTTTTATGTTCATTTTACCAAATTTTGTAACAATACTGATTGTAGTATTAATCTAGGTATCACATGAACAAACGGATGCGCCAATGAAAAGCAAAGAAATTAAGAACATTGATCAGCAAGTAGAGAAACTTGTTGTTCATGATAAAGAAGTTACTCAAAATAGTAATAAGCAAAGTGTATTAAGGATCGAAACTCCAAAACATAATCATATTAAAGCATCGGAACCTAAAGGTACATATTAACACTGTTTTCTATTACAAATTATAGTTTTTTAACTGATATATTTCCTTTATGTAGAGCATAAAAGTTTAATAGTTATCAAAGATCATAACAGGGAGCATGGAAGAAATGCTATAATGGCAGAACATTTGAAGCAAGCAAATGAGAATGAAGTTTTAAGGCCCAGAGGAGCGGTTATATCATTGGCTTTGGGACTTATAATCACAGCCATTGCAGCTACATTAATTGCATGCCGTTTACGGGTAGTTCGTAGACGTGGAAGACGTCATGGACCATACGCTCACGATGCGGACTATTTAGTTAACGGAATGTATCTTTAAGTAAGTACGATTTCGTTTAGCCAAAAGATTCCAGTAATATTTTCATACTACTATAAATATTGTAACAAAAGTGCTTTTATTGTAGCAATTTGAATTCAATATAAATTGAAATATTTCGATTTACATTCGACATTGATATTTGGTATTCACTGAAAGTATTGATCTCTGTACAATGCATTTTACGTAAGCGTAATTGTAGAAAATTTTTGAATGTACTATAAAATTTATATATTCATAAAAAATAATTAAAATGTTTCATAAAATCAATTTTTGTTTAAATTATTCTTTTCCGAATGTGTATATTAAATTCTGTATTTTTCAGTCTGAGAACCATTGACAATACAAACAGAAGCGTAAACATTTTTCTTAATAACTTAAAGAAATATGAATGCATGTATGAACTCATCATACAGCCTTACAAAAGAAAGACGAACAAGCAATTTGTAACAAAACTATATTTATATATCATTTTTACAACGATACAATATGTACACCTGTTTATTATTCTTAACATCAAAACTATTATTTGAGTTTTTATATCAAATACATTCTAGTGTTACCTAGTTTATGGTGGTATGTGACTTATGATTTTACATGAATAATTGTATCTGTGGCAATTCAAATGATTTATACTGTGTGAGCACTGTGCAAATGTATGAAATACAATACTGCAATTGTATATATAAATTATCATTAGTAGTACCAAAGCAACAATTAATTTAGAACTTTAAAGTGATATGGTTTTGTTTCACAGGATATATGTTTCGAAATAATTTTATTAATAATTAACCTGTCATTTTATTTATTATTACAAATTATTATCATAAAAAATAGTTATTTGTCATTAAAAAACCCAGTCTTTCTTCATTGAAAAATCAATTATCTTTAATGTATAACAGATGAATGTAACCGTGCCAAATGTTATTACAAATATTAATAGTTGTCTTATTCATTACTTATTACAATTATTTTTCTTATAAATATTACAGTACTGTTTTTTCAGACACAATAATACATGTCAGAAAAAATAGCAGTTGGAATGATTAAAAATAAAATTGTTTCTATTACATGATACACGTATTCAATTACAAAAAAGTTTTTTTATTTGAAAAAGTGAACTGAATAAAAATAATTGTAATTCTGTGACAAAGTAATAGCCTTTACCATTACTTACACTGTAACAAGTGGAAACTATGAGATGTTTACAAATGTAACTCTGTACGTTTGTTCAAAATGGAGTAAGAATATTGTTTAATTATATTGAACAGTGCACTGCTGAATGCAATTACTGACGGCCAGTAGCTGCTGCATTCTGCTGTGCTTGTATAAATTCAGGATAATCAATATATCCATCATTATTGGTATCATCCATAGAAAGTATTGGGTCTATTAAAGTAACCAATTCCTCATCCTTGAATAATTTTTCTTCAGGTTTGACTCCTACCTCGTTCTTACCTTGTTCTAAATGCGAGAATTTCTTTATACATATAGTTATCACAGTATTAAAAGTTATATCCTTAGTTAATTAGGTAATAACTACATACCATGCCAATGAATCAAGGACTTTATAAGTTCACAACCATCTAACTTGTTATTGTTATCCGCATCATGCATCTTAAAATAATGAAACTGCAATTCCTGGTCTGTCATTTTACTAGTATCTATTGGAACCTCCATATGTTCAGCAATGTGACTGTGTGAAAAAAACAATTTTCAAATAGTTAAAAGGTTTATGTATTTAATAATGTAATACATCCAAATAAATAGAACATACGCCTTTTCATTAACTATGTTGGCAGCATTAAGGATTTGCTGTGAATGGTCATGAGCATGTCCTTGTTGCACTGGTATTTGATGAGTTGGCATATGCTGTTGTACAGGTACTTGTTGAACAGGAACTTGATGCATAGGTACCTGTCCTTGTGGTTGCTGGAACTTTATAAATATCCAAATAAAAATATAATGTAATCTAATAACAATAATATTTTATTTAAACATGCAATATAATATAAAGTGATATATTATATGTTAATTACAACTATTGATAAACTAGTTCGACTAGTTATCTAACTACTCGATTCTACCTGTTGTTGTGGAATTTGTTGTGGTACTTGATGTACTTGTTGAACAGGCTGAAACAAATGGAACATATAATAATCTATGAATTAAGGAATTATGAACAATATTGTATTTATATAATATAGAGGTAGCATTTGAATATCAAAGAATTGAATACATTCTAATGATGCATTAACAAATAGTAACCATATGTTTAATGATTCTGGAAATAAAACTTACTTGTTGATAATGTTGTGGAGACACACCTGGTGGAACTCTTTGAGCCTGAACGTATATATGATTACAGCTGAAAGATCCGAGTATAAACAGCCACAAAGTCCAATTCATTTTGTAATATTATTCTATAAACAATGAATGCACACACGTATCGTATGTATAGTTACATATTCAATATATAGTGGATGAGCAGTACGTGTGTATTGTGCCCGCTGTTATTGTATTAAACTCGAGTTGAAAATGTGACGAGGCCAAACAAATTTTTTCAAATACCTTCTTTACGATCGGGGATGTACAGAAAAATTGACATGTAAGAAAGCGTCTCGATCATTGGCAAGACTGAATACCGGAGCAGATAATCCAGGTTATGTTATAAGAGTCGCGTAGACTGACGTGGACAGATGTTGCAGGTGTTACTGTCAGCAGTTTCGAACTAGGGGATCACCAATCTAAGAAAAACCATCAATAGCAACAGTTTCTTACTATATCTTTTCTTTACGATAAATCATGTAAATTTATAATAGATTAACTTGCTTTGAATTTAGTAAACTTGATTTCGATATTTATTACCATGAACTTTATGAAAAGATTTGAAATATACTTAATGCATGGATTACATTTCATGACTCCAGAAACCCTAGATGAAATTGTTCAATAAGAAAACATGTTATAGAATATTTATTCATCGTAAATAATAATAAACTAAATATAATTGTTCCATAATATGTATTTTGATGTTTTATGTTCGGAATATCAAATATATCATATCGTTCGAGAGAATATCTGAATGTTCTTTGTTTATATTAAGTTCAATTAATTATTGGTTCTAGTTCAAATCGATTTAGAAATTTTACAGGAGTATGATGTACAGATATATTCTTTGTATTTATACAGTTAACACTTCAATTCAAAATTTATAATTGAGACGGTGTTACTATGATTTTAATTAAAGACTTCACCCCGCTGTTGTGAAGCAGAAGTTCATGCTTTCGCAATGGCGGAAATGTAACGCTTCATTCAGTATGAGAAAAGTGATTAAGTAATTGTTATACTGAGAACGTTAAAAAAGGGAATTTCAGTAACATATTTCTGAGCTAAAATATCAAAGGGTATCTAATCGCGTTACTAGGTACGCAGTATTATTTTGTTAGTTTTTGTATTAATTTCGCGTTTTGTACAATTTTAAACCTGCCTATATACTTTTATTCTCTCCCTTGGAGTTTTTATGCTATTTGTTTGCACCAGTAAATATTTCTTTATACAAAACAATGTGTATACTATTAAGTTGAAGAACAGATTCAACATATTACTTCTAAGTTTGAATTTTTATCAAATAAAGATTTAACCTTAATTCTTAATAACTAGAACGCCCATTTCATACATTTATATATATCATGGTTGTTAAAACTCAATGGTAAGAAATTTAATAAAGTTCAAAACAGGTTTTTATTTTATTTGGAACCTGATAAAGCCCTGAACAAAGTACAACAAATTTCTTAATTATATCTCTCAAAACATCTGCAGTCCACTTATAGCAGTTAAGATAAAGTTTCTACATTTCTGAAGACAATGATTGATTATGACACAGTTGCATTTGTCTGTTCAGGTCCGATAATAAATGGAAAATGCCTCAAATACCAAAGAAACATCGGAAAGTAAAAAGAGCTACAGTGATCATAAAACGGTCACAATGTTTCAGAAATTATCCCAAATATTTGACTTATAAACCTTGTAAGTTTCCGTAACGAAGGAATTTATGCTCTGAATTTATGACAACATTTTAAGCTAACAATAAAATGTTTTTTATTTTATAGTGTGTGAAAAGTTAAAGAGTAACAACAATTATCTAGCAAAAGCATTGTCTAAAAAAAAACAAGAGTGTAACTTATTATTTACACGAAATGTTAATTTAATTGCAGAGGTACAAGATCTAGGTTCAGCATGTAATAAATGTAATGTAAGTATAATATTGTATATGTAAATGTAACATATTGTACAATATCATCATATTATGTACAAATGTATATTTTAGTCTACAATAGCAAACATTTCAAAAGGTGCTAAGGAAATGCTTAAAATGTTAGTGACAATGTCGGGTTATTTGACAAATATAATTTCCACATGCCAAGAACATATACCACCTGCCAATACAAATCTAAGGATGTCTTATAGTGCTTCTGGAAGTAAGATTTCTTCAATACTACTTTTGATGTTTCATTCATATTTAGTACTACTTTCTAGAATTAAAAATTATTTTAGGAAGGGATTCATATAGGGTGACAACAAATGGTCCAACCAGAGGGGTGGTGAAGCCTATGGTTAGCGGGCACACTATTACAAAACCTACTATTAATTTGAGTAGAATAAATATGCAACATATTAACGAACTCTCAAACTTAAATATAATACCAGAAGTAACAACACCACCAAGAAATCAAGAAACAAATAGTCCAATATCTCCTGTGGCTGTTCCTGTGAGACAGCATAGATATGTATGTTTTTTTTTTAAATTTCCTGTGCAAATTATAAAATTTGAAAAACGAAGCTGTTCCTATTAATATGTTCACAGGACACTGCCCGTACCTGTAGATTGCCAGAAAGACTGACTGTTAGTTCACCAAGATGTAGTGGTATGTTGCATTAATATGACCTACAGTATTAATAATGCTCATGTTATGAATTTAGTTATAGTGTTTTAACATTTACTTGTAGAAGAAAATGAAAGGAGATTAAGCAGACGAAGTAGCAAATATTCTGGGAGAATGTCAAGAAAGAGTTCCAGACAAAAGTCAGATAGATTGTCTGGTAGTAATAGCACAGAATCTAGGATTGAAAATTTTGAACGTATAGGAAGTCCCACAGTAAAACTTAACGATGTTTCAAAATTACTACGAAATTCTCAACGTATTAACATTGGTCGATTGGTTCGTATTTTTTAACAATTTCTTTTTCTTGACATACATTTTAATAATTTAGAAAAATTTATATTATCCGTAGTTAACAGAAAACGGGAACAATCAAAGAACTGTTAATACAGAAAACAGTCGTGATTTGAGTCAAGAGGATTTTCAATCAGATGTTACAATACCACAATCACCTCCATCAGATACTCCAAAAGATAATGATGACAAATCTGTTGAAAATGCAGATACACTATCTGACAGTGCAGTACATGTTTCGGACGAAGATAAAAAAGAAAACCGTAGGACACAAGAAAGTCTTAAATCAGATATGGAGGATCCTCTTGAAGGACCAAGTTGGTTATTCAACAATTCCCGAACATCGCCACACTTCATAAATGAAGCAAAAAAGACTGATAATGCAAACGTTTCTATCAACGACAGTGCGTGTAGTATTTTGAAAGTAGCAAGTACATGTTACGAATCTGATGATGAAACAAGTATGGAAGAGTCGTTGCTGCTTTCAAACAAACGTAGAAATCAGATAAACCATTTTAAAAAAGATAGACAGGTACACGCTAGGAATGAAAATATGAGCTGTCCACAGGATGCAAATAATGAAACGATTTGTAAAACATCTACATCGGCTATTCCGAAAGACATTAATCAAGCTGAACGAAACGTGGAGAGCGATCGAACTAGAAACTTAGCAAACTTCGTTACGCAAAGGCGAGGTTACTTAGTGGAAGAAGATGATGATGATGATTTTACTTTACTGTATACAGCACATCCTCGTAAGATGCATTTTGACATAAATGATTTAAAACTACCCGTCTTAGAAGAGTCTGCATTAAAACCAATAGCTTCAGTTGAACCAGAACCAGAAATTACAACTACACTCCGAAAAATATCTCAAATTTGTCCAATGCCATCTGTTTCAAACAGCAGTGTAGACGAAACCATGTTTAATCAATCCACGGTAAAGTTGCCTTTACCGGTAGATAATGATTACGATAACAAAGATTTAACACAGTCTAAAGATAGGTGTGAGACTTCACGACGGAAGAAGAAAATAAAGAAGACAACTTATAATGATTTGACTGATTTTATTGATAGTACGCCAACAGTTAAAATCCGCGATAGCCGGAAAGATAAAAAGGATAAGCCTGTAAATAAGGATCCAAGTACTGCAAAAGTGGTGTTGGAAAAGTTAAACGAATCTGATGTCAAATCGAGGACACCATCACCCGAAGAGAGGTTGCAGGATTTCAATCAACCCTTGTACGTATTCTAATTTTATCTTAACATATTGCATGTATATATGATCATTATTTGTTTATTTTATTTGTAGAAGTCCTAGCTTTTCGCGAGCGGACAACTCGAGCGATTCAGGGAGTAGTAATGAGAGTACGAGTAGCATTGTGAACCGACTTAGACGAAAAAGAGCACCAAAAAATTTTCGGGAACCCAGTTTGAGAATGTAAGTAATTTCTTGTCTGAAAATTTTAATTAGTTTAATTACACTTAATTATAATAAATTGCAATTAATGCTGATTTTAGGAAATTACGAAGGAACTATTGATAGAAATGTACAACAGTCGTTGATACTTGAGGCACGAATGATTAAACACAGTAACATGAAACTTCTTGTTGTTTTTATAAATTGTAATGTATATAAATTATGGATACGTTTAACGTGAGAAATTTGTTGAATAGACTGTTCTAAGTGGATAAAAATTAAAATAATTTAATTGGCCAACTACTATATGTAAGCCATTCAGACTTGAATCGTTCTGCTTCCATTGTTGCGCACAATTTTATTAAAGCAGACTCTGTTAATTATTTACAGATAATCGCAATGCTTCGACGTAGTCATAGCTTCGATAATTTTAGCTTCCACTTGTAGTATTCTTCGTATGTTGTGCATTTTACCTGTTTTTGTACCCATATCTAATGTTGGAGAAAAATAAACATGAGTTATTTAAATTTTCAATTTTTTTTTACTCTTTCCAATAGATCTACAATACGTACGTTACATAAAGGTAAGAACGGATTATTTTAAGAATTTTTAATTTAATCATTCTATTGGTTGCAAATATCAGTCAAATAAACATTTCAAATACTTAAGCAATGATCAGTAGAAATACTATATTATTTATAAAAATAAGCGAGCGGTACGTGATTTTTATTCGTTTGCATTGTGTTTCAATGAGATTGAGTCGCTTCTCGATAGTTTAATAGTACCTAATTGTTAACGAACATTTAAAGAAAAATACAACGCTGAAGTTACGCACAGATGCATCCGGTTCAATGTTTTTGTTTTGAACGTAATATTCTTTTGGTCGATCAACCAATCCGAGTGATGGACATAGTAAATAGTCTTCATTAACATCGATGCATGGGGTCACGCTGGGTTTCCTAATTGCTAAACATATTACCTGCAGCTTAGTGAGGAACCGGATGCGTTCGAAAACATTTTACCTGAATTAACCGATCGGATGCGTAACCGTAATAAACAGTATAATTACCCTGTGGATGACTAACACCTATTATGATGAATATTTATGTTTCTGTAAACAAGTTACCTGTAAGAGTCTGGAACAAGTGAGGAATCTGAGAAAGATCAAAACAACATTTTGCCGATAATACAAAAAGCATCCCGAAGCAATTCTGTTCAACGTGATACGGTAAGTGCGGTTTAATTAACATTTTGCGATGGTTCAGCCTGAAGAATCCAGTAATAATAATATACTGTATTTTACATAAAAACGTTAACAAATTCAGAGCTTTTCGATTTTTCATTAGATTTAAATTAACACATAACCAAATTCAATCGTACAATTCGATTGAAATAACATCGATTAACGTTGCGAAACATTTTCAATAAGATGCGATCAGTTATGCGGCGAACGCGACCCACATAACACAAAACAGTCGTGGTTTCTATACTAAATTGCAGCTTATTGATACGAATTCGTGAAATTGAGTATTAAGACATTCGTGCGTACAAGTCAAATTTCAAAATACCAAGTGGTTTAATCGTGTATTGGACCTTTGATATGATTTTGAACGTCTCTGATCTTTAAGAAAAAAAGCTCCATTAAATCAATTTATAAACGTCGATGTTTTTAAACGAGTAACGTGAAACGAACTGGACTTGCGTCGGACAGTGCGAAAACGTAAAAACATCGATGGGCGTGGGTGTTGAATAGCAAATCTAAAAAAGACACGGCCAACGTGCTACGGAATCCTAGTGACTGTAAAACATTGCATTCTTTTCGCTGGTACGGTGTTCGATAGGGTTTGTATTATTATATTTTAATTACTCTATTTTTATGGGATTATAGAGCGTTGCTATTTGTTGGCGTTAAAAAATAACAAGCGTGTTAGGAACAAGTAAAAGTTGTCCAGCGTTAACACGCGTACCGGCGTTCAAACTCTCCCTCCACGAAAAGTACGATGCGGCGGCACGCATGCGTCGACCATTTCCTAGTAGCGCCGATTGTCCAGCCAATGGGAGTTGGCGGATGACGCCATCGGTAGCCAATTGGGGGGCGAACCGCTGACGACAAGGCTATTTTTAGGAGACGTGAGTCACGGGATATAAGGCAGTACGTTTAGTTCGATGTTCACAAGTTGTCGAGACATCGTAGCGTGCAGCCGAGTGACGTTCGCGTCGGATGTACGATTACAAACTGTTCTAAAGGTGCACACGCGCAGAACATCACGTTCGTCGGATTGCGTGTCGTGAGTCATTGTTGTGTTGACAGTTGAAGCAGCTCGGTCCCTCGTGTCATCGTCGGCCGATGAAAAACCGAGTTACGGTTCACGTTTTACTCGTGTAGCCGACAAACGCGTAGTAGGCGAACAAAAACGCTTTTGCGTCGCAAGTTTTGGGCCGATATCGCGGGGCGCGATAACATACGCCGACGAGTATCGGGACACGGATTAGTTAGTACGTGGACACGGTAGTTTCGAGTTAGTGTCCCCCAGGCCTCGCATCTGGCGACAGGGAAAGGGAGATTTGGGAAGAGTGTAATAAAAAAGACGCTGTCGTCGTTGAATTTCCGAACTGGTTATGTAACGGTGGTGAAAAAGTATAGACGGGTGTGCTTAAGAGGAAAAACGGTGATAATTGCTGCAGGGAATACAGCGATCAATTTATTGAACGCAACCGATCATCTAAAATACGTGTGTCGAGCGTCGACGGAACCAACAGCACATTGTTCCAGTCGCGCGAGACCAGTGTTGGAAGTTTTGATCGGCACGGCATTTGGTTCTCAACGGCATCGATGGTGCGGAGTTCGACGATGGAGCAGACGTTCTACGAGGACGCGAGCGTCTACGGCGCCGTGAATCGCGAGCACAATGTGGGCCAGTTAAAACGCAATCTCACGCTAGACTTGAACGGATGTCAGAGACAGGGGCCGCAAGCAAAGAGGCCACGATTGGGACCTTTGCCACCAGCACTGAACACTGTCACGCCTATTTTGAGCTCGCCGGATCTGAATATGTTGAAGCTGGGTTCGCCGGAACTGGAGAAGTTCATCATCGCTCAACAGGACAGCCTAGTGACGAATTTACCAACGCCTACGCAGATTTTGTTCCCGAAAACGGTAACCGAGGCGCAGGAACTCTACGCCCGTGGGTTCGTCGATGCTCTGAACGAGCTTCACCATTCGGACAGCTCGCAGGAACCCGGTAGCATTCATGGGGCGACGTATACCACGTTGGAACCACCGAGCAGCGTTCAAAGTACCGAATCGTCGGTTAGCCAGGGTTTGGTACAGATCAAGGATGAGCCGCAGACGGTGCCCAGCGTGTCGAGTTCACCGCCAATGTCACCGATCGACATGGAAAACCAGGAGAGGATCAAGCTCGAGAGGAAGCGTCAGAGGAACCGCGTGGCGGCGTCGAAATGCCGCAGGCGCAAACTGGAGCGCATCTCTAGGCTGGAGGACAAGGTTAAGTTGCTCAAGGGTGAAAACACCGAGCTCAGCGCCGTGGTGCACAGGCTGAAGGAGCACGTGTGCCGGCTAAAGGAGCAGGTGATGGACCACGTGCATTCGGGCTGCCAGATCATGGGCGTGTCCGGCCAATTTTGAATCATAGGCCCAGGGATGAGATTACACTCTTTGACGTTATACGTTTCGTCTGGTGGCTGGTTGTGTGAATCCTGCGAACGTGGTTCCGTACGATACCTGGATTCGAGGAAGTTTCCACGAGGACCACCAGTAGCCCGTGATCAGCCGCGCCTCTGTCCTCTAGAGCTCGTTGTGTTCATCTCGCTGTTTTGGATTTGTCTCTTCTTCGTCGTTTCCTGGAAAAAAGAGGGAAGAGACACGGTGATGTGTAACGGCGGCGAGAAAATGGCAGAGTGCCTTGGTGTTCTCGAAGGAATACGAGACAACGATGAGATTAATATGAATCTTCACGTCTCTCTGCGGTGTGGCTGCGCTGTACGCACGTGAAACGTATTGCGTTCACGCCTGAGGGCGGCGATGCGAATAAGGGGGAAAGAGCGGTGCAGGGAGGAGAACAGAAGAGATCCGAGGAGTGGGTGAAGAGAAGACGTGTGTGTGGAAGGGGTCAGGAGAGAAAGAGAGGGAGGAGATGGAGAAAAAGGAGAGTGGGTGGGACCGCGCGGTGAAGAGGGAGAGAGGAGCCTTGCGGCGCGCGCGGCCATTTTGGAGAACCGCGAGTACTGGCGGGAGATTCAAATCTCCGTTCCACCTAGAAATTTTCCATTTTGTGTTAGATTCGCTGAGGGAAACAATTGTCGACGACAGGTGAGGGTCTCCACCCCGTCGTTAATTTTCTTCTGTTCCCGAAAGTGTTTCCCTCCGCTCGAGAACAATACCTCTTTGCATTCTTTGTAATCGATCCCGCGGAGATCGTTGTGATCGCTCTTGCGTCGTTTTTTCTATAACGAATACGCGCACGCGCACTTACTAGTTCGTAAGATTGACTACTCGTCGTTATCGCGGAATCTTCCGATTCGCTTTCTTTAATATTTTTTTCCTTATCGTTTCTTATTCTTCTTAGGAGTTTTATAATATCGAGCGATCGGGAACGATCCTCGATGGGTCCGGGATTTCGTGGCAATCCGCGATCGGAAACGATTGAAAAAATAAAAAAATATCTTTTTTATACTCTTGCGTCCGCGAACTCGGAAACGATCGTGTGCGCGCACGCGCTTTTCTTCTCTTTGAATGAAGTGTCGATTTTTTCGTTCAATCAAAAGGAACAGCTTCTTTCAAAGGACTCGTAGGATGTGTGTATATAACGCTATATACGGTATTCACGCGCAGAGTAACAATTAATAGGCTAAGGAACGATTCGGAAGGGACGGATGTGCGTCGAGTGTGTGTACACATGTGTAACAGGACGAAACACAAAATAACAAAAGTGCTTTCTGCAATCGGAATCTTTGGTGCGAATTACGCGAATCAAATGGGGAGAGTACTAATTGTTAGACTAACACACGGTGCTGTAAAAGAATTACTCGTAAACATCTACGTCTGTATAAATTTCGTTAATACTATAAGAGATTTGTTTTCTTTTTCTTTTTATCCAAAACATGACACACGCGAGCTTACGGAAATTCTTCGATATAGTTTCGACCAACGATTTCTCGATTTCAGTCGTTTAACACCGCTTGTTTTTCTTTTCATTTTTAAAGAGAGAACTACCATTGTTTTAAGGCTGTACAAATAGAGAATAGGTGTCAGGGAGCAGTTGTCGGCGTTGAAATCACCGTCAGAGACCATCTTTTCGCGTTTAGATGCGATGTATGTGTGTGTGTGTGCGTGCCAGTAGTTCAATCGCTGAACTGTGTGTTCTTGTATAAAATTTTATAGAGCGAAAAATGGTAAAAGCTGTTTCAAGCTTTCTGTTAACGCGTTGCATCGTATTTAAACCAACCACAACTCTCGGCGAAAGGAGGATTCCCCCGGGAATCCTTTCCTTTTTAGCTTTTCAAGCTGGAGACTGGTGTGTAACAAGTCCCCCTCGGTTCCTCGACATCTCAGTGTGTCTTGGAACCTTTTCTTATTTTCGTTTTTTTCTCTTTTATCGTCATATGTGCATCTAGTCTTGTCCAGTATGCCCTCGTAACTTATGCACATTGCGTACTGCGTTGCGGATCTGCATAAAATATACATACAAGTGCAACCCAGGGAGACATCGATTGTGTTACCACGTGCGCAACGACGAAGCTGCATTTAAAAGGCATAAATGCGTATAGAGGATCGGATTTTTAAGCTTAATACACACATACACACACGCAGTGTGTGTTGAACATCGAACGAGCGACTCTATTTCTCTCTGTTTTTTATTTTAACGTTTGTATTTACCTTACACGTTCTCTTTCGGTTTAATCGTGAACAAGCGCGTGGTAACAAAATCGCCGCGCAGCGTTACCGTTGTGCCATTACGCAAGGAACCGTTGTATTAAAAAAACAAAAGAAGAAAAAAGTTTTCCCTCGGAGTGTCGCAACAGATTTTGGGCTGTTTACAAATGGCGAAGATCACGGAATTACACACGGCGATCAGCAATAAAGTTTCCACGCGACATTAGAAGAAACTCGAACGAGCAATAATCCAGCGATCGTGTTGTGTTTCTTCGTACTTTTTTGTAAAATAAATATCTTGTTGATCGCGATCGATAATTTCAGGTTTCGAATTTTTTTTTTTTTTTTTTTTTCGAAAAATCAAGTAGTATGTACCTTGTTCACGATGTGTTACGTAACTATCGGGTACGAAAATTCGAAATTCACCAATGAGGTGTGGCTCGATAACGTGCGCTCACGAATACATACATAATCTTTGGAACAAAGTGTAAAAATTTTCATAAACCCGAGGAAACATTATCCGCATGGATTGCGCTCGGTAAATGAAACCGTTAATAACAAAGAAAGTATTTTGCTAACTGTTGTGATCCTCCGTTACTTTTTTCTATTCTTTTTGTTTTTAATACAGAACTCGTTTAACACAAGGTGTAGTAGGTTTAATCTTAGGTACAATAGGCGGACTTAGATGATTCGCCGTCGGGAGATTGCAATTTAATGGAGGAAAAGAAATTTCTATTTTTTCGATACACAGTAAAGAGGGGGGAGGGGTGTAGCGTTGGAACAGTCTTTGGCGCGACATCACGCAGAGGAAACCTTTTTTTTGTTTGTTAAAAAGATATTAATTTCATACTATTCTCTTACCATTTAATCGAATCGTTTCGAATCGAAGAAAAATTCCCAAAATGCCCATCAACGGAATTCTCAACAGTGTTCCCCTGTTTCATGTTCTTTCATTTCTTTCTATTTTTTACTCACGACTTTCGACACACGATTTGACAATTGTAACATTGTAATTTATTTCTCTTAAGATAAGCGTGCTCTTCGTTTTCTCTTGCTTCGTTTTTTTTTCTCCTCTTTTTTTTAATTTATTGTGACGATCACCCACGCTGGTAGGACAGCGCGTTCCCTCGAATAAAAAGGTCTCTTCAGCGGTTACAGCGTTTCTAGTACGATTCAGGTGGACAGAGAGAGCAGCTTCTGAGAACCATTTTCTTTTTTTCAAAGTTCTTACAGCGTTGTATGTATATACCTTTTTTACCAAGTAATAACAAAAAAAATCGCATAGTCGGTGATTCCGAAGATCCCGCCCGCCTCCACTTTTTGTTCGCGCGCAGTGGGTTCTCTCTGGTCGTTTCGTTCGTTTCTCGAAACGAATTGAACAAAGGAACAAAAAAATGAAAAAAACAAAAAATAGAAAAAATTGCGCACGGGGATCGGACGAACGCCGAAACGTTATTTTAAAATCCGGATCTTTTTAGCGAATAGGATGCGAAGGACAAAATGAAAACGTGATCGAAAGCGATTTATATGTATAATGAATGCCAGTTTAAAGGAAGCGAGCGAGAAAAGCGGCGGCACAAAAACGTATGAAAGTAAAGGAAACCACAATGTGATTTAGCGTGTAAGTGAAAACCCCGTTAGAGTATATATATAGATTATATATAAGAAAACCCCGTTAGAGTATATATATGGATTATATATATATATATATATATATATATATATATATATATATATATATATATATATATATATAGTGGTACGGTGACGACGACACAAAGATAAGCACCGCATATATAGAGTTATGTATAACCCTATACATGAGAGTAAATATTACTATATTATAATGTAAATTATATATGTATAAATATGTATGTATGTATATATATTTACACATATATATGTTATATATATATATATATTGTCTACCGACTAGAGCGGAAAATCTTTTTTTACGAATAATTTTATTTTTGAATGAAATACGATGAAAAATAAAATTTCATTATATTGAACTTACAGCAGCGAATGTGTTCTTTTTCGAACTATATCCCTATTTACATTCACTGTTGAAACTAATGACAGTCTAACCGTATCGTTTATTCCGTTTGATTTTTCAATCTTGAAAACGGTTATTTCAACATGTGTTTTTGCCTTTTAAGCTCGTGCGTCACCACGAAAACACAGGGAACGCGTGTGTCCCTCGAGAAAGAGAGGGAGCGATACGTTCTCGAAGAGAAGAACCCGGAATTCCAGCTTGAACTCGTATCCCATCCGTGCACCGCGTTAATTATCGCAATTGGCTAATTGGCTCAATTGGGAAAGTTCTCGGTACGAATTAAGGATCGGCGCTGGCTGGCGATCGTAAATTTTTACAAGTCGTTTAAAGTCGATTCGAGGGCTCGTTTAGATCATCTTTTTTTTTTCCCCCGGAACACGGTTCGTTTTGCGGAGTACACTAAATCTCTCGACAAATAGCCAGTAGAAGAGGAATCTTGTTCGAACAAAATGTTTTCCAATATTCCTTGGTTCGTCGAGAATTCGTGAAATTATAGTTGTCTATATTTGTGAGATAATATCTAGAATGTCTCGAGTTTAAATGGGGCTGTAATTAGCTGGACCATTGTCCAATTTCTATACCTGCTGTATTTGTTCGTTACACGTGGACATTCCCACAATGATGAAACGATCTCGTGGTAAAGAGGGACCCCCGAATCGTGCGTTAATCCATTCGCTGAAAATTAGTAGTTTATTAA